CACTTAGCATCTAATACCTTCCGGGAGATGATTGAACAAACTGTAATTGGGTCCAGGATTTATGACTACAGATCCTGACACGAGTACAATATTTATGTAATCACGAACACGTCCGCTGTACTATGCTGTAACCTTAATACTAACTACCTCACCTGTTGATAATATTCCTCCACCTGATAACTAGACACTCCAGCTTATTGCACCTGAAGATTAATCAACCTGGGGGTTAGGTTAGGTTAGCGCTGGGGTGCTTAATCTTCAGGTGTTGCGGAGGAGGTGGTAGGATGCATGTGGGTGGTAAGGTGGATATGGGTGGCATTGTGGATGTGACTATAGGGTGGGCGTGGATAGGATAGTGAGTAAGGGTGGTAAGATGGATTTGGGACTGTGGGTATAAGTGGGTGTGGATGGTAAGGTAGATGTGGGTGATCAACTGACGCCTCTTATTTCTCTAACTCCTCCTCCTCCGTCAGTCAACAACTCACCTAAAACACTTCAATAAAACTCTGAGGTGATGTTGTATGGAAAGTGGAATAGTTTTACGGGAGAAAGGAAAGAGAATAATAATGGTCAAGTCAGGTTTTGGGAGAAAGTTTGGCCATTGGCGAGTTTGAAAGTTGGACAACGGTTGGAAAAAATTATCGAAGGATGTGTTTATCCTGGGGTGGTGATGATATTGGTGGGTGGTGCCGTGGTGGTGATGATATTGGTGGGTGGTGCCGTGGTGGTGATGATATTGGTGGGTGGTGCAGTGGTGGTGATGATATTGGTGGGTGGTGCCGTGGTGGTGATGATGTTAGTGGGTGGTGCCGTGGTGGTGATGATGTTGGTGGGTGGTGCCGTGGTGGTGATGATGTTAGTTATGGTGGTGCCGTGGTGGTGGTGATATTGGTGGGCGTTTTAAGTGGTGGTGATGATACTGGTGGGTGGTGCCGTGGTGGTACATTGTTGATATTATTGATGGGTGGTGCCGTGGTGGTGATGATATTGGTGGGTGGTGCCGTGGTGGTGATGATATTGGTGGGTGGTGCCGTGGTGGTGATGATATTGGTGGGTGGTGCCGTGGTGGTGATGATATTGGTGGGTGGTGCCGTGGTGGTGATGATATTGGTGGGTGGTGCCGTGGTGGTGATGATATGGTGGGTGGTGCCGTGGTGGTGATGATATTGGTGGGTGGTGCCGTGGTGGTGATGATATTGGTGGGTGGTGCCGTGGTGGTGATGATATTGGTGGGTGGTGCCGTGGTGGTGATGATATTGGTGGGTGGTGCCGTGGTGGTGATGATATTGGTGGGTGGTGCCGTGGTGGTGATGATATTGGTGGGTGGTGCCGTGGTGGTGATGACATTGGTGGGTGGTGCCGTGGTGGTGGTGATATAGATGGGTGGCGGTGGTGGTGTTGTCTCACTGTTTCGTCCTGGGTTCACTCCTCGGCCTGCAGGTATCCTCTGGGTACTCTCAGTTATATACAGTGTTGTGAAATAATATTATAAATCACTTCTTATATCTCTTGTAATTATACATACAGTTATATGTAAGAAGAATACATTAGTGATTGGTTAATAATAGTGTAAATAGATGGACGAATTAAAAAAAAAAAAATATATATATATTAATTTGTGACTTGTGCTTTAAAAATAACAACAAAAATATGTTTCCTTTGTTGCATTTCTTCGTTCTGTTTGTTTCTAGGTTATGAAATTAATAGTTTTATTATTCTGTGATGTTTATTATTGTGAGTTAACATACTGCGTAGTTAAAACTGCAGTTGTTTCTTATATAATGTAATGGGCACAGATGACTTCAAGGGGATAAAGATACAATAATCAATATTTTAATGTTCGTAATATGAATTTTATTTATGAAATATAGTTAAAATAATATCTATCATCTAATACTTATTTAGATGATTCATAATATAGTTTGTGGTGTGGGTGATCAATATATTTTTATGTGAGGGAGACTTATGCTCGTATCCCCACTCGTGACGCCATTTTACCCCTGGACGTGAGACATTTGAGCGTCGGGACAAGAAGGTGGAGCTTCATTGTGTTAATAGGTAAATTACTCTTAATTTAGTATTAATAGTATCACCTTTAACTATCATCCCATCATATAAGTAAATCCCAGTTGACATAAACACCTGGAAGAAGAGTTAAAGAGTATTTACCCAGCTTGACCCGACAGCCATTGTGGGAGACCATAATAAACCAGTCACATATTACTATTATCAATGTTTTAATATATTTCACCTCTAATAAGATGATTTTGTGTTAAAATTCTAAATATAATGAAAGGAAATGTGATGTAAAGAGAGAGTTTGATGGTATTGAGGATGTGTATAGAGGAAGCCGCTGACATTCCAGAGGGAGTCCGGCTCTTGTGTTTATCATTATTATTATTATTCACTAAACTCATCACTACACATAGATAGTAAAGTTATACAAATTATTATTCATAGTTTATTGATTTAAACCAAAGATAACTCAATAAATGACGTCAAATATATTTTCATTTGACCTTTAATATTAATTGTGTATAGGAATTTACCTGTATAGACGCTTAACACCACAAAACATCTATGGAATGGTTTAAATTTTTGTCCAAGGGGTTTAAAGACCTTAGTGGATAGTTTACAGGGAAACCAGTTGCCATATGAACAATGATGCCTTTGACAAATCCGACTGCGAGAGAGATTTAGGAGTAATGATAAGTAGGAATCTTAAGCCAAGTAAACAATGTGTATTTGCTCGTAACAAGGCTAATAAAGTACTTGGGTTCATACAAAGGAGTGTTAGTTACAAGACTAGCGAGGTCATCCTAAAACTGTATCTAGCGCTTGAGACCACACCTGGATTACGCAGTTCAGTTCTGGTCACCTCATTACAGAATGGATATAGAATCCCTAGAAAGAATTCAGAGGAGAATGACAAGACTAATCCCGGGCATTAGGAACCTTGAGTACAGAGACAGGTTAAAGCATCTTAATTTGCACTCCCTCGAGAGACGTAGAGTGAGAGGCGATATGATAGAGGTGTATAAATGGAAGTCAGGGTTAAACAAAGGGGACATTACAAAGGTACTCAAACTATCCAACCAGGAGCGAACTCGTAACAATGGTTTTAAATTAGACAAATTTAGATTTAGGCGCGAATTAGGTAAACATTGGTTTGGAAACAGAGTAGTGGATGAATGGAACAAGTTACCAAATATCATTATTAACTCGAATACGCTGAATTGCTTCAAACATAGGTTGGATGCTTATATGAGCAATAGGGGTTGGGTGTAAATGGGACTGCCCAGTATAGGTCAATAGGCCCGCTGCAGTTTCCTCCATTCTTATGTTCTTAAGACCTCGGTGGACAGTTTAATGACCTTAGTGGGTAGTTTAAAGACCTCATGGATAGATTAAAGACCTTAATGGACAGTTTAAAGACCTTACTGGATAGATTAAAGACCTTATTGGATGGTTTAAAGACCACATAAAGGGCCTAAGGGTCCCATAAACGTCTTTTCCTATGGAGTACAAGACTGAGTTTGCTGCCGTTTTGATGGAGTACTGAGGTCATGTAATGGAGAAATATGCTCCTGATTCTGCCTAACATTATACTATGATTTATCAAGACTCACTGTAAAATAAAGATCAACATGGAGGGATAAACGATGATTGTAAACCTGTAATGAAGCACCTTGTAAGTCATACGGTCAAACTGAATTGTGACATTAATGCTGGATATAACACATTAGTTAATCCAGGCCCATGTTTTTAAAGCTATCACCTTCTTCTTTTTTACGGAAATGTAATCGGTGCTGGCCAGTGTTTGTGTTGTCACAGTTACCAGGCATTATTGTGTCTTGATAGTAGGAATGAGTAAGACAATTGGTTAGTTAATTGCCAGCAGAGGAAACACAGGTTGAGAGACAACTATGACATGAAACTGAGGAATAAAGTTGTCTCTCCTATCCTGTGTTTCCATGACTGCCAATTTATTGTACCATGTTAGGTTTTAGTTTGATTTTTTTCCTCCATTTTGTTCTGCTTCTGTTTGATATTAAGCTTGCTTGGAAAAATCTTGATAATTTATAGGTTAGTTTCCTTATATTTTTTTGTTTTTATTAGGTTAGTAATTGTGAACGTGAGAATAGTGAACACCGGCCAGCACTGATTATACTCACGGAAAAAAAAAATAGTAATAGCAGTCGCGTCGTATTGGTGTTGCCACATCACATGAAGAATAGACACCCCAGCTTGTCACCTGATGCTTAACCACCTGAATACTCTATCTAACCCAGCAGGTAGCATTAGGGTGGTTAATCTTCAGGTGAAATAGGCTTTGGTGTCTTATCAGGTAATCTTTATCGTGTAGTGGATAAGACCTGTACGTATTGATTTTGGGGTCACTCGGTACACTACAATATTGTTCTTACAGGGACATATTTTTTTTTTTTAATGATTTCCTTTTCTTTTGACACATGACTGGGATAGATAAAGAAAGGAAGGGAATAAAGACATAGGATAATGGGATGAATGAAGATAAGTGGAGTGAGACAGGAGAATAGGAGAGAGAGGTAGGTTTGTGTGGAGGATTAGTGGTTGCAGGAAGTGACCCATCATAATCTGTTGTGAGAGAAGAGAATTTAACTGGGGAATTTCAGACTGCACTGAGTCCGTGATGAGGCCAGATGGTCACCACCAGCTTGTAGTGTAGTGCATGTCTGTCCATTGTTATCTCACTGGAAATTTTATGTTGAGGTATTGAAGGATTGAAGGGCTGATTGGAACTGTCTGCTGGGTTCATGTGTTTAATTTGAAGTGTGTGTAACAGTAATTGAATATATAAAGTGCTGTATTGTAAAGGTAGAAACATTGAAATGAAGCTCTTCCGTAATACTCGTTGTATGTCCGTTTAGTATTAGGTTATTTTCATTAATGTGTGTGTTTCTCTTGTTTGTCTGTATGGTATTAGGATATTTTTATTTACGTTTGTGTTTTTTCTACAGTATACCACAACTTCAAAATGGAATCACCACAGCCTGAAATGGAGATGCCAGAGTCTCCACTGTTGAGTGAGATGATAAAGGAAGAGATCCTTGATGGGGAGGCCACTGAGCCAGTTGAAGAAGAGACTGAGGTTCCCATGATTGAAGAGAAGGAAACTGAGGTATGTACAGTACTGCAGTTGATGTTGGCATAGACTGTACTGTACTGATTTTATTAAGTAATTTACGTAACCTGACCTAAATATCTTGTAGACCGCACGTTATAGTAGCAACGATCATTTGATAAATTGTCTGTGAATATACCGGTACTAATTACTGTCATATCATCAACCAGTGCTTCAGATAATATCCAAATCAATTAAAACTCTTTACAGAAAGGAATTACTGATACTCATGGCTTACTGTACTATAAGACTTGAAGTATAACCTACCATTATGATTTATGGTGCGGAAGTGTGTCTCTTTTTTGGATCACCTGAAGAATCTCCACTTACACTTATTTCACCTAAAGATTAACCACCCTAATGCTAACCTATCCTCATCCCTGAAACAGTGTTAGGTCTAATAAGCTAGGGTGGAGACTTCAGGTGGTAATTTGTTGTTTTTTCTTGACAATATCAAGTCATTTGAAGAAAACCTGTCAAGCTTGGCAGATATCACATAGTTATTGACATCTTAGACAATAGTAAATAGAACTAAATAAATATAAAGGGAGGATACTGAATATACTATCTATTTAATTTTCAGTTGAAGGAGGAAGAGGAGGGTGAGGGGAATGCACTGAAGCGACCAGCAAGTGCCAGCCCCTCAGAGGACGAGCCAGCCTCGAAAAAACGTTCTAACGAGGTTGACAAGCTCTGGAAAAATGTTCACGATAATCCTAATGATTTTCAAGCTTGGACGTTATTGCTGCAGCACATTGACCAAGTGGTGAGTAGCTACTGTACGTCAGAGACCACTTGGTGTGACTTAGTAGAGAGTGAGGAAATTGAAGAGAAATTGGAGCCAGACAGGAGCTTCAAACAGGTAAAGCTGAGGATGGATGGATGGGTTTACTTTTAAGTGATGTTGGTGTACTGTATGTCTTTCATCTCATTTAGTTTGGATTGAAGTAGGAGGATAGATAGAGCATTGAGATAATAGTTAGATAGTAATTGTGAGATAATAGATAGTAATTGTATCCATGCAGATATAACAAGGTTAGGTTGTGGCAAATATCTGAAGGTGTTTTTCTGAGAGTTTTACCCATTGTTGCTTTAACTTGTGGTGTTAATTGTCCGGGTGTGAGTGTTGTAGTCATATGGTCTTAAATGTTATAAACTGGTGGTAAGGTTAAGTTATGGAATATCTTGCCGGTTAGAGTTTTTTTTTTTATATGTTTTGGTACTAATTTATTCCTTGAAATTCCAGAGCGATCTGGAATCTGGCAGAGAGGCGTACGACGGGTTCTTTGAGAGATACCCTTACTGCTACGGTTACTGGAAGAAATACGCTGACTTAGAAAGACGCAAGGGCACCAAAGAAACAACATGCAAGGTGAGTCCATCTTGTAGCAACTGGAACATATTGATGATCATGTGATGTTAAAAATGAACACAATTATAATTCTTGCCTCTCTTACAGTGACATTAATGGTAGGTATTGCTATAGCCTTCTGAGTCCAAACTAATGATGGAAAACAAGTGTAATGGAGGAAAATGTTTGCATGCTTGGGTTCAATGGGATATATGATATTTACCTATAACATTATTAACCAAGTGCATATTCTGTTTCAGAGAAAAATACAGAGAAAGGGTTTGTTTTGAATGTGTTTGGAATACAAATATTGTTGTTGTAGTTTTATAACTTTCTGCACATAAACTGTTTTCGTTTTGTTATAAATTGATATATGTATTGGGTATATTTGTGACTGCTTTTACATGTGTAAAATGGAATAAAACAGAGCAACAAACATTGTGTTGAGGATTGCTGCACTGTGTGTGAGGTTTTTTGTGCACTTAATTTACTCTTGGCGTTATCTGGCGAAGCGGCAGGGGTGTCGCGTCCCTCTCTCAATCAGTCATCTTGGTGTCTTCACGCAGAGTAGCGGTGCAGCGCCCCAGGGTAACAACAGTAGGTACTCCCTCAATATACCGGCCCTCACTACCCACTGGCACCACGATCAGGGTTCTTTGAGGTACACCAGCAGCACACACTCAGCCAGGGGAGCATCTCATGAGATATCCTCCCTGTCGTATAGTCATAATACACACCTCTTGCCACGCTGTCATTGTTTGGGACGAACAAGGTATGAACTTCTGGTGTACCTCATGGAACCCTGTTGAGTGCTTCATGCCTATCCGTGTGGGACTTGGGTCAGATGATGAACTATATGCCAACACTCTGTTGAATTGATGATACATTTAGAAGGCATGACTACCTGGTGTCTATAAACTCTGGATGGGGATCTTGTAACCTTTTTATTAAAGGAAATTTTGTCATAAATTTTTTATGGTTGTTAATGTGTCAGATATTTTTGTTTTGGGCTCTGGATATACAGGATCCTCTTTTTGGTGTCAGCAGAGTAGGCCAGAGAGTCAGTCATCAGCTCACTAGCATAACACACTTACTTCAGCTCTCTGTTTGATGGCAACAGGTATTTAATCGAGGGCTGGAAGCCATCCGGCTGAGTGTTGACCTGTGGCTCCATTATATGGAGTACATCACCTCACAGTTTCCCGATGATGAAGCCTTCGTCCGTCAAGAGTTTGAGCGAGCCGTGGAAACCTGCGGGCTGGAATTCAAGTGAGTTATATTATATGTTGTTATGGTCAGGGCATTATGGCACGATATATAAAGATCATTAATGCTTAATAGCCAAAGAAATGTTTTGCTCAGAAGAGTGATAGAAACAAGAGAGTAATTATAGTAATTGGTGTGATTATAGATGACCACCAAAGAAAAATATGAAAAACACTAATACCTTGTGGACTGTTTATTGTACATTTGTTTCAATGTGAAAAGATGAAAAGGTGTCTGGCAATATTCAGATGTTAGGAGCCAAATTTTGTCCTCGGTTTTCAATTGAAGTCTGATGGAGGCGATTGTGAATATTTATTATTTAAGGTCTGTGGTGGTGTGAGTTAAGTGGTCTAAGATGTCACCTTTTACAGTATATAATATTGGTTATAATCACACTGAGGCTCCAGACCGTGTTATTTATACCCCCACAAACAAAGCCTAGGCAGGTATACTGTTCAGCCTGTCTGTCCTTGAATAGAATAATTTATTATGCTAACTCTCCTTGTTCTTTATATCAACCATCATGAAATTTCAACCATGTTCCTGAGGTTGGGAAAAGTTCATCTTGGGTTCACTTCTTGGATGGAATTTATGGTTTATGATAAGATGTGTTGTACATAGTATATTCTTGGGTTTAGGGAGATCCTTGTCACATTTGAGGTCATCACTACTGCTCAATTTGAAGCACTTTTCCTACACCTATCATGAAGCTTTCGTACAATTTTCTTAAGATTCAAGAAAATGAAAGTCTCTTGAGTGAAAGTCTCTTCATTTTGGAGTTCAGTCAAAAACGATAACAAAAAGAAACCGAATTTGGCCCTGTACACAATAACACCAGTGCTCTGTGGTGTACTGCAGTGTGGTCACTTTATTTTAGGCTCAGAGTTCCGGTTCATTATTGATAGAAACCAGAATTTGGATTCACACAAAATATTTTGACTTAAAATTTACCGATCATCTCATATACTTCCATAGATGTTACTTAATTATTATCATTAGGAATTTTAAGGTACATTATTATTATTATTATTATTATTATTATTATTGTTATTGTTATTGTTATTATTATTATTTGAACCAGAGGAACTTTTAATAAAGATCAAGGAGGTAAGTATTAATTATTATGTACAGTTGTAAACATAATTCCGTGGACACTAGACAGTACAGTATCTAACATGTAAGTACTTAAGGATTATTTGGTGAGGGGGGAGTGGAATGGACGAGTTGGCTGGTCAATGGGTAAAGAAAATGCTTAAAGTCACTATGGTAATGATATTTTTTAATAAATTAGGCCAAAAAGTGTAAAAAAAAGGGTTAAAGTTGCTAAAAAGTCACGTGTCTGTGAAAAGCTCCGTGATTGGTTGTGACGTCACTGACTAGTGTGTGTGCCGTCCAGCCAGCTGTGGTGTATGTGTTGTTACCAGCAGAGATACAGGACTTGTGGCCATATACAATGTTGAGATACACGGGTATACCTTCTTTTTAGGTTAAAATAAATTACTGCTCAAGTATCATCTTGTGTATCTACTTGCTGGCTGCCAAAATGATGCAAAAAACCGATAACTCCAACATGGTAGTTTTCATCACTGTTCCCATTTTATGTCTGGATAATGTAAGTTTTTGTCACTGATGTCTATACAGTATGCCCCCAAGCTTGCAGATTTTTACTTCGCGGTTCTCGATTATTTGAGGGTGACACCCTGGATGTACCCAAGAATGTCTGTGGGTAGTTTTAAAGTTGCCGACATTTTCACACCGAGACAGGGAGCCATTTGTTCTAGAGACAGTAATTTCCTTTACCTGTATTGTAAATATATGTGTGTGTGTGTGTTGAGACACACATACAAAACACATACAAATAAATAATAATTGGAAATTCCTCTCACAAATAATCCGAAACAAATTTATTAAAAATGTGAGTCTACCCTCATGTCCGTTCTCTGTTACAGTACTTTATTACAATACCACAGTAAAGGAAATATACATTTCTTTGTACACAAGTAAAAATGCAAACCCCACCCCCGGTTCGCAAATGTTATTCGCACATTTGGCGATTCGCGGTCATTTTGAGAATCTAACCCCCGTGTATTTATTGTTGTGGAAGGACTGGGGACGACCATGGCCAGGGAATGGCTTGAGATGATCAGATGACATGTAATTAATGTGCTCATAGCTGGATGGCAGAGTTCTTGATAATACTGTACAATCATAAAGACATCTACTTTTGGTAAATTTCCTTAATCTGCCTTGATGAACCCTGGAAGAAGTTGTCCAACCTTCTCGGCTGATCGGCTCTGTAAATAAATATTATTGATAATTAATTGTGCTTTTCTGTGCAACACAATAATACTGTATTGAATATATAAATAGTACTAAGCACATTAACTAATTCAATGAATATTAGCTGCCCCTACTACAAATTTCATAGAATAAACATTCCAAACAATATTGGTATTATTGTGGCTTGGGTCATCTGGGGAACCTTAAGATTCTAACTATGGGATTAAGCATTTTAAACAATAAGACACATTATCTCTACGGGATTTCTGTCGCAAAACATTTTTCGATCACATAAGAAAACACAGGTCATATGATAGGTTGGGTTAGGTTAGGATGAGTTATAAGGTTAGCTTAACATACATCAGTAAGGGGGGGGGGGTAGTAACTCATGACTAGTGATTTCCGATATAAATGAAGGTCTAAATCGTTCATAACACATCACAAACCATCAGAAGAAAAATAGTAGTCTGCCTGTCTTAGTACAGGGATGACCAAAACTAAAGATTTACCCAATATCGCCTATCTCGAATCAAAGTCCAAATACTTATGGTAGTTAAAGTAAAATTTTACCCATTAAATAATATAAATGATGATATATCCCAGTGGTTCATTCGTGAATCATCAAAACAATAACAGCACTATGTTGTCATGTTTACCTAGCATCGGGCATTCTCAAAACAAAGTCCAGACAATGTCATTACTTCTAAATTGACTCGTATCTCCATCTAGTACTGTACTGATATACTCTGTAAATGCACTAAAAAAAAACAGAAAGTCTACCAGGTAAGAGTACATGACAGCTGAGCTGGTGTGAACATGGGAGTTTATAGCCATAAGAACATATGAATGGAGGAAACTGCAGCGGGCCTATTGGCCCATACTGGGCAGTCCCATTTACACCCAACCCCTATCACTCGTATATCCATCCAACCTATGTTTGAAGCAGCTCTTCACGGCACATATCTTCACTTACGAAATGTCCATGACTTAGACCATAAAAAAAACACCCTTATAACTTACCTGAACGTGGCATTTGGGGTCTGAAGAGGTTTTGTACTACCTCCGACTGCAGCTGTGAGTTTGATAGAGAGCGTCGGCTGCAGGGTAGGTGGTGACGTCATTGCAAATGGCGGCCCTGTTTCTAGAGAAATAAACTTATCTCTACTATTATAGCAGGACTTTTAACTTTTACTACAAATTACATACACCAAATCACTCTACGAACGTGGCAGAGTGTATTTCTTGTGCTTACCCAGAACCGTCAACTTGTCCATTATTATGTATTTTCTCAAATTTTTCTTTGTATTAGGGAGTGTTTTTCCCCCTTTGTGTGGTTCTGACCTATGAGATGAAAAACTGTTGTTAGCAGTAAACCAATCGTACTGTGAAACCTCCAGCTAATGGATTATATTGATAGAAAAGTCTGTTATATGGAGGTTTTACTGTATATATGACCCAGAAGTTGTGCCAGATATTATCAAATGTTCAGGGAGTTTTGTCTGCCTCTGTATACATGGCCTTATTGTTAGTACAGAGGAAGGTGATGTAACATTTGTTCCTGAGTCCTCTATAATATTTCACTTCCTGAATGAATTTACTTTTGCTAATGAGAAATAACGTGTTTGATATTGTGGTAAATATTCTTTTGTATGACACTATATTGAAGCTGCAGTGTTTTAAATGTTATTTCATTGGTAATATAAGCTGATACTGTACTTGTAAATTATCAAAGATTGCATAATGAACAATAAAGTTTGGGGGGGATTATTATTGAAATCGCGGTTCTCGCTGTCATGGAAAATACTGCTACTGAACTGGAAGAAATCTTGTCATGGCCAAAGTGGAATAACAAAATTACCATATTTGTCAACCAATTAAAAAAAATAGTACCATTTATCAAACATGTACAGTATTGAAAGTGTTTTTCTGGAAAAAACATAATATTTTATGCATGTACTGATATTTACAGTAAATTAGTTCTGGATATATAATAATGCTCATGCATTTACATTGGTCATTTGTGGTAAACAATGCTACCCGGTACAGTACATGCTTGTGGTAGGCTAACCTTACCTGTAAACTCCCTTTATCCTGGTCTTGCCTATCATACCCCTAGATTTCTTTGTTGTTTCATGAAAAAACAGAACCTCGTTCACTATATATACAGTATGTTGCTTTAAGTCTACAAATATCTTATACAAATGATGGATTTTCATAAAATTTTCTTTCCATTTGCATCTGTTTGCATCACTGTTGGGATTGTTGCCAAGTTAGACTCTTCAGTGTAGCCACATCCCCTAGCTCTCCCTACCAGGCCAAGCTGTGAGCTATTTTTAGGGTTATTTTTCAACTTGTTGCTATGGCGAGCATTTAGGCCGGCCAGCCAGCATTCCTGAGACTGTGTACTGTGTATGCATTTATTTTTGAAGATTATATTCCTTCAATTTATGCCTTGAATACCATACATAGCACAAGCACCAAACAAATTTAAGCCTAACAATATAAGGGAATAAGCAGACTTGCCACTCCAGTCTACCTGATCACCTGTGCTAGCTTCCAGTGCTGTGTTCTGGTTGTGCACTCTGCCTATGCAAATGGCGGTTGTGTCAAACTTTCACTCTGCTTTTCCTTAATGGTTTTAGCTTCAATATCTCATCCGGGGTTTGGTGTACATTTTCACAACAGCTTCATCAACATAATCCTCCAGAACCTCACTGCTGTACTGTACTGATGGCTATTAACTGGCGAACTAAGGCACCTGGGTCGCTAATTACTGCTACTGTGTCTTAGATCTTCAATAATTTTTTGTCTTTTCAGGTCAGACAAATTATGGGAAGCGTACATATCATGGGAGAGTACAGGCAAGAGGTGGAAAAATGTTACGCTTCTCTATGAAAGAATTTTGGCAACTCCAACAAGCAAATACATGCAACACTGGCAGAAGTAAGTTGTCAAAGAGTTTATGATTTTAACCGTCACGATTTAATTTTCATCGCTTTGTTGTGACCAATTGGGGACATTTGGAGTGCATTATAAAACATTTTACTTACCTGAGGCAACAGGTTATGTTTTGGCTGTTGGGAAATTAAAGCCCCCCAAAAGACTTCAAATTTAATAACAATAAAGGTCGTGCCTCCTGTTAAGTTTCCATCACCACCATTTTGTAGCCCTTCTACTTGCTTTTGTGAGCTAATCATGAATACCTGATAGCGTGGTGTCTTTGTTGCCATCAGTCAAATTTGAGGCAAGTTTTAAGGCTGGGTGCCCTTACTGTCACCCAACCCCACTATTACAGAATGGGAGCGGGGTATTATACTGTATAACATCCAAGCATCATCTAAGCTGACAGGGCAGGGTCACTACAGTACTGTCAAATGCATTTAGAATCACTTTTCTCATGTTATTTTACTTGTTTCTTTTCTTAGGTTCCAGGACCATGTAAAGAAACACCTGCCAAGTGAGATTGTTGGAGTGGATGAATTTCTTAGTTTACGTCGTGAAGTGCTGGCAGAACTGAATAGGTCAGACACGGAGACTCCAGACGAAGCACCTCCAGGTGTTGAGGCGGCCCCGGGCGATGAACAAGTCGGGACAAATGTGGTACGTGTACACCATTTATTGGTATGACATTGATAGTTTAGGAAAATTATGGAACAAACAATTGAATGGGTAATGTTAAAGATGTGTGTTGTGTGGTACAATATGTGTGTACGAAAAGCCTTAATGATATGGAGAGGTGCCAACCGTGGTTTATGTTGAAATTCTTGATGTGTTACCTTGGCTTGCAACCCTTGAAAAATTATGCTTAATGAAATTTGTGTAGGTTGCTGTTGACATCTAGTCTTACTGCTCGTGATAATGTAAGAAGCAATTAGGTTGGTATAGATCAGTTACTTGTGAACCACAGGAGAGAGAAATAAACGGTTTTTCTTCTCTGTCAACAACCCTTGAGACTCCTCCACATGACCACCACCTTCACCTTCCTTTGTAACAGCTCTAAAACTGAACCAGTGATCTTCATTTGTTATTTCATCATATTGCAACTGCCAAGTCCAGAGAACTAACACAAAACAGGGAAAAGTTAAGACTACACTATCTCAAAGCCAACCTGAAGAGGATTAACACTGGCATGGGAGACCTAGGAAGGAGAGACCCAAGTGACGTCACCACCTGAGATTGGCATTTCAAAATTCAAGAAGAATTGGGTGTTCCATGAAGGAGAGAAATATCGTAGAAGTAACAATTCCATGAAGCAGAGAAGGAAGGAGCACTGGGTTAGTTGAGAACTCACGGATCCAATGGGAAGAACATGTTAAGTTTATCACTGGACTCTTGGCTCATGAATTGGACTCTATCATCGCTGGACACATCAACTGAGATGGACCCTATGGTAGTTGTATTCTTGTACCTGAGAATCACCTATGAAGACATCACTTGGCCACAGTTACATGTGACACACAAGAATAAGAGAACTTAGGGAACTGTTGGCTTGCTTGTAGTAGTGTATTCCTTGCTCTCTATCAGTCAACCTTATGTCCATTAACACACCCCAGGCATTTGTTTCCCTGGCTGCACTGTTCATCTGATGAGTGAGTGCTTTGTAATTTCCACAAAATATTAAAGGGTTCCATAGATGAACCATGGCACATATTTCTTCCCTTCTGTTATGTGAATGAATTCATTGTCATTCACTTATTCAGCGGAAGAGTTGATCCCAATACGTTGATCCTCCACAGATGTTCAAGGTTCTGTACAAAATAGATATACATTAGGGAATTTAATTTCTAATGGGAGATATCGGGTAAAATTGAGGTTCAGTCGCCAACAAAGTACTCCGGACACATCTGGGAGCACTGCAGTACTCGTATAGACATTCAGATCGTGTCCCAATGTTTCGGCCTCCTATCCCATATTGTATAAAGTAAGACACACCAAAGTGTTACTTATAAACATGATTTTTGGCCTTTATGTATGTTTATGTTGTCTCAGATGCTACTGGACATGTCCAGAGTATTTTGTCGGTGACTACCTTGAAAATATGTACGTTTTCACACAATGCAAGTGTTTATATAAAGATATGTGCTTTTGAAGGTAGGTAAAGACTATTCTTTATAGACTAAAACGATTTATACGAGTACTGTACTGTACTCTGAACACAAAGTCAGGTCGGTGGTTATGGTGAAATGGCATCACAGCTGCCACCTCTTGGGAAGGTGTCTGAGATAAGTAGCAGGAGACTTGACAAAATTTCACCACTGTCCGTCCACGAAAACTCCCTGAATGTTAACTATCGTGTTTATTCAAGTAAAGTGTACGAGTATATGTGTCGAGCATTATGGATCATTAACTGTTTTGAACCACACATTTGTGGGGGATCACTGTATGTACAAGTAAATAAGCTAATGGAGGTTGTTCTCAATACATCAGCATCTCTATTCACAGCTATAGCTTCAGATATTGAAAGACTCAGTAGACCTGCTGGTGAATTATGTAAAAAGAGACGTGTTAGCTTGGCTGTCACATAAAAGAAGCAGCCAGCAAGTGATGGCAGTATAGGAAGCGTGTGTGTATGTGAAGAGAATGGCACTTGAGGAATGCAGGTAAATGACCGTTCATGAAAAAATAGTAAAGGAAAAGGGAAGGAGATGAGTAAGTTGAGATAATAGTTCAGTATTTGAAAGGTAGATTATTATTTTATCTCCTTTTATTAGAGTTGTTTGGGTTGAACCTTCTCTACTCAGTATTTCCTGCAGTTTACTGTCCTGTGGTTGGTTCTTGTCTTAAGGGTGTCTCACTAGTATCTCCAGGAATAGAACAAGCAGCTTTGATAACATTCACTGAGTACGGTATTGTGTATGTACTCTGAGCAGTTTGAGATCTGAGAAACTTGTGATGTATTACCGTTTATCTTAGATATTAATACGTTCTGTACACATAACAATATCCATATCTGTATTCTTCCTTGAGTGTCTTGTATATATCAGTGTCTGCTTCCTCCCACAACAGTATACAAGTTGGCTCCTGAGTGTGATGGGTAATGTGATATAAATTGGGTATCACAAGATGAAATGGCAGTTTTTCTCACCACCAAAACAAATGTATGGGAACTTAAAGTCTTGGTTTACTTACATGCATAGAGTACAGTAATTTAATGCAGTCATGTATCAGTAACATATAAATGATGATAAATTAAGAGTACAGTACAGAATCTCTTAGTTAAGATAATTTCCTATATTGCAGGTATAGAGTGAGCTTAACAGAAAGGATTGGCCTTGAAGAGATCCGTAATCATGGTAAATCTTAGATAATATATATGCCTCGGTCTCCGTTTTTGTTTTGAATAAAAAAGTCTGATATTTACATCAAGAAATACAGTACAGAATTTTACTCAGTGAAGAACCCATGTGGATGTTACCTTCTTCAATATTTGAGTAGTTTGTTGGTCATCCATACTAGACAATTAACATTATTGTTTGTTTTAGGATGAAGAAACCAAAGCCCTACAGAAGAACATCATATCAGCACGACAGAAGATCCACGATGCCAACGTGATTGAAGTCAAAGCCTTGTGGAGTTATGAAGATGCCATCAAGAGACCATACTTCCATGTTAAGCCTCTGGAGAAGAGTCAGTTAACTGCCTGGAGGAATTATCTGGACTATGAGATGAAGCTGATGAATGCTGACAGAATAAGAGTGTTGTTTGAGCGTTGCCTCATAGCTTGTGCCTTTTATGAGGAGTTTTGGATGAGGGTAAGTCATGTTGAAGGTGGGATAAACTCCTACTGAAATGGTTTATATATCTGTTAATGAAAGAATATAAGGGGGATGACCTCTTTTGTTCTTGGTCTTTTTTTTTTAACTATATTTACATATATATTAGAGGGTCTTCATATGCTAAATAATTGTGTCCAAAAATTACTAGGGAGCTGTGACTCTGCCTTGTCAGCTAAGAGGGTGCTTTGTAGTCCTTCCTGTAATACCTAATGCCCACTCTGTAAAAGTGGGTTAGTGATAGTAAGGCCGTCAAGCCATAAAAATAAACTCAAATTAACAGGTGGCAGCTGGGACACCATGCCATCAGGTAATGACAGCTAACCCAATCAGGCATAGAAAAATGGCATTAAAATGGTGATGATTTCAATTATTTTGGGTGTTATGTGAGGTGACATGGGGTCCAAGTCTGTGGCCAAAAGGTTGAAGGCTGTATATCTATTAAGTCGCTAACAAAAGAGCTATATAGTCCTTGTTTTTTATACCATGTCCAACAGAGAAGATGTGATACAATAATTCTTCACTTTACACACAAGTACTCCAAGTTATATCTTTTTAATTACCAATACTGTAACCTTAAATGTGATGATTTTTATTGATGTTGTTTTAACTTCCTTTCAGTATATCAGATACCTGGAAGAAGTAGGCGCAGCGGAATCAGAAATTCGATCAGTGTACCAGAGGGCTTGTGTCATCCACCTGAGGGAGAGGTTCCGTCCCCATCTCTCCTGGGCAGCTTTTGAAGAAGAGAAAGGTGAGGATGACCTGTTTATGTCTGTCACAATAAAATCCGAAGTGACAAATTCGAGTTAAGTATCAAAGGTTAAAAGATTTCATGTGATTGTCAACTGTCAAATTTGTCATGCTATGTGTTAGGGTACTGGGTGGTGGACCTATGTCTCCCACACACACACACACACCATTTGGTTAGTGTGTAAATGCTGTTCATTGATTGATATGAGTATGATGGAATTTTAGTTGGATTTTCCTCCAGCCTGAAAATATTTAAAGTGGAAATCACATGGAGACTACCCCTCCCCCCCCTTCTTCCCCCCCCCAGCTAATTACACCTGATGAGTAACTACCTAATGGGGGGAGGGGGGGGCAGGTTAGGATGTTTAATTTTCAGGTGAAATTAGCTGCTGTGCTAATCATCCTATTGGTCCTTAAAGTGAGATATAAGAATGGATTCTTTTCGTGCAGGTGACGGAGACCGCTCTCTGGAAATCCTGAGAGATGTCCAGAATCGGGTGCCAGGTAGCTTAGAGGCGTGGATGCAGGCTGCTGGGGTAGAGCGGCGCCGAGGCAACATGGAAGCGGCAAAGGATATATTTGTCCATTGCCTCTGCCAGTGTCAAGATCGAGAAGACAAGAATGCACACTCACACGTTTCTTTGAAGTTGGCCAGATTCTACACTTTCGTAAGTTGTGTTGTATTATTTACCCTTGGGAAGGTTGGACTACTAGTAATTCATATCTTAACCACTTTCTCTCTAATCTCTCTTTTCAGCTTTGTTATTAATAAAGCACGGAGTAGACTGGAGGGTAGACCGTCACATTTAAAACAAAAAATTGTGCTGATTATTTGTGAGGGTTTTCCAATTATTATTTATTTGTATGTGTTTTGTGTGTGTGTGTGTACACAGCACATATATACAATGCAGGTAAAAGAAATAATTGTCCTAAGGGCAAACACATAAGGGAATATACATTTCTTGGTACACAAGTAAAAATGTACCCCCCCCCCCCTGGTCAGCAAATGTTATTTGGTGATTCACAGTCATTTTGAGAACCTAACCCCTGTGAATTTGAAGGGCATGCTGTACTTTAACACTTTATCATATTTATTTGCTTGGAAAGTGCAGCTGACAGTCTCCTGTACTTGGTCTGGAGTTAGTAAGCACGGAACTGGTGACACACACACTACAGCTCTCGGAAATTGAGTATCATTTAAACGTGTCTTGCCATTAACAGTGCCCATATTGAAATCTGCTAAGCAGATAGGAAACTTGTTGACATCCAGTTGTTTGTAGATATTTTGGTTAGTTTTAATAAGTATTCTGGCATGGGAAATATAGCTCTTTATTTTGTTGACACTATAAGATGGGTATTAACTTGTGGATTCTGTAAACGTTTGTGTTATTTATTTTTTCTGATTTACAGTTTTGCAATGATCCAGAGAAAGCAGTAGAAATCTTGAAGGAGGGTCATGACTTCAACAAGGTAAGAGTACATACAGTCTTGGGTGGCATTATCATCCACATTGAGAATTAATGTTGATATTTTCAGTGTGTGAGTCTGTCTGTAATGAATAATTTGCAGAATGAACTTTTTTGTCAGATTTCAATAGATTATCACACAACTTGATACATAGGTTGTGGGTGGGTGACTGTGTTGGGGTCATCCCTCTGTGTACCTCACTTAATGGAACAGGTCAAGTCAACTTCAGAACATTCAAGTTATCATTCCCTGTTGTTTTCAGATGCATTTGATATTACAACCATGCAATTTTGAATGTACAATACAGTCAAATTAAAAAGTTTGACCCCAAAAAAATCCCCTGCCAGCATTGTGTCTGTTCATAACTCACAGATGGCGCTCTCCACCAACCGTTGACCTGCAGTTAGTGTAAAGAGCGTCACCAATATGTTATGATCAGAAGCATAATGGTGGCTGTGGATTCTCGGCAAACTTGTTATTTTGAGGAGGAGGAGATTTTCTTCATTGTACTGATAAAACTAATTAAAATACAGTCTTCCTGCTCCCCCATCTATATTACTGACTCCTCGTGGTGATCTTATATGTTAACGGACTAATATAAGATGCTAGGTAACATGAACCATTTTGTCCTATTTTCTAGTTTGATCAATGCATTTTTCCTGAAATTGTCTGCTCAAGGTTGGATATATTTTGTACTTTATTGACTTTGCCAGAAATTTTCACTTATTTTTGTTTTTTCTTTTTCACATAAAGGAAAATGGGAATGTTTTGCTTGCGTTGGTGGACCAAGCTCTTATATGTCGCCCACCCAAGTTTGATGAAGCAATTCTGGCACTTAGGGAAGGTGTAGAGAATTGCCAGCAGCCAGGAAACAGACTCATGTTTGCTCACAGATTCTTCCATTTTATGACTGAGTGTGGCCAAGACTCTAACAGGTGAGAGAATTGAGTTTGTTAGATATTTTACTTACTGAGGAACTAATAAACTATAGTACTTTATTTATATATACTGTATATATACTGTATAGATATGTATACTGTATTTAAGACTATAGAATAAGTTTCTTTTATTATATAGTATTATCCACATAAAACATGAGAGTAAGTGAAGAGAAATTGGAGTGAGGCAACTGGCTGTGTGTGTGTGTGTGTGTGTGTGTGTGTGTGTGGTGGGTGATGAGTCTATTTGTCCTCATGTGTTTGAGAAGTAAATTATATAGTGATTGTAGGAGAATTATGACACACTGAAGCTTATTTGTAGACTGAATAACATTGAGAGTATTAGACAATGAGGAAATGAGTTCGTGGAGAGCTAATTGGAGAAACTAATAACAGTATAACTAAACTGACACAAGTACTGTAGGTTTATTCTATGGTTTCCTTGGATACATGTTCATAATAGTACTTGTCCACTAATCCACTTATTCCTCTATTATACAGAAGCCTCTTGGTCCCAGATATATTACTGCATTGTTCTTTATTTCCTTCACCTGGAGGGTAATTTTACTGGTGTTTGAATTACTATGTGCCTCTCTCCCCTAGTAAAGGTTTTCAGTGAACAGTCACCACTTTTGATGAAGCTGCAAATTAGTCAGAGATGTACATAAGGGAGTTTAATGAATGCTTAGGTAGGTCGGAGGTTAAGGGTCATGTTTTGTGCTGAAGTTCCAGAGTGAGGAATACTGTATAGGTATTTTGAAGATCCCCTTTTTGACTTGAACAGCTATGTGATGGATATATGATCTACTGATTATTTGTACTTTGTAATAACACCATACTTTCTTTGTCTTGTGGGTGTATTTTTAACACACCTCAAGGGTACGTTTTCTGGTGTGCAGTTTACTCATGTTATTGGTTAGTGGAGGATTGGATCACGTTGTCTGAAAATTAATATGTAACAGGAAAAAATCTACACAGGTGCAGTTAAAACAGCTACTTATAATATTATATCACCTTACCATTCCTCCTTCCACAGCAAAATTCTATGTATGCCATAACTGTGATGTGTTTTTATTTGTGTTGGATTAATTGTTGGATATTACTGTCTCATTTAATTAACTTTCTAGGTGACTTGTATGAACTTCTCATTTAACGTCACTACCCTTGTCTTATTGAAAAATTCTCACCGCTTCTTATAGTTTAGTAAATTGAGAAGGGCACGTGTTCATATGCCTCTTTTTTACTGTAGTGTGAGTGAAGGATTGAGGGTGTTACGTCAAGTTCAGATGGAGATGCGGCAAATGGACTCTGCCATGGCGGAGATTGATACATCAAGCAACAGCAGCAAACCAGAAGTAGCAGGTGGTGGTATTGCTGTGTGAGTATTCTGATGATGTGTTGTTGTTATATTATTCTAACAACTTATTTTGAAGGGATTTGACTCAACTACAGTGTCAGTGTTGATTTCACTGTAGAACCTTGGAAACTTTATTGGTCACTTATTACCCTTTTGACTATTTTAAAGAGATACAGTAAATAATTGCTTATGTATTAGTATTAATAACCTTCTTGCAGGCTGGGGGTGCAGTACATATTATGCCTCTTCCCCCTTGCAGGCAGATAATGCTTGATGCATCATCCAGATGGGTCTCTTTATTTCTTGGTACTGTAGAGTATTTTGAATTTAATGTTGCACCACTCCTCCCTGCTAGTGACGCAGTGTAGCCAATGGACTGGCAGTGGGTTAAGCCAGTCAGCCTGGGGAGACACATTCCACCCTTATCTGTTTCAAACTCAGTTGTCCCAATTTGGCTGTCTGAGACAGAGCAGTTTTGGGTGTTCTTTTTCACAAATTCTTTGTGATTTCCTGTTGCATGTGTATTAGTAGTGGAGTAGGAATGACCAGTTATGGAGAAAGGTGATGGGAAGGAGAGAGGTAGAAAAAGCCCAACCTGCAGTAGCATTAAAACCACATGTGCGTACCAGCTGACACCTTCCTTACATCTTTGAAGGTGGATGCACTGTGTCGGGAATACAGTTGACTTCCCTGCTGTTGAGAGTTTTAAAAGTGACAGTGATAACAGCAGCAAAATTGAGGACATTTATTTTCTGGTTGTCTCCTGTTTTATTGAAGATAGGGAGGGGTTGGTGTGAGGTTTGAAAGGGTCGGTGGCCTGACGGTCACCACCCCAGGTGCCACACCACCCAGCACCATGGCCTGGACCACCAATCCTGCTCCATGCACTGTGATTCCTTTCATCACATGGTACCTAATGACTGTATGCATAGTTAGAATGGTGACTTGATTTTATCACCGTTGGCGGCAGGCTGTTTTACGTGCCAACAAAGTTATTCATGCATCATAATTTAGTATTTTTATTCATACAATTTTAGGTGGTGGTGTATCTTTGGGGGATTTTTGCTTCACAATATTGTAGATAGACTTTTGTAGATGTTTTGTATACATAAGATTTTTTTAATATTGCAACGGATTAGTCGTGAGGATTTGTGGAATGAGCGAGGGAGTCTGTGAGAGGGTTATAGAGTATCAAATTAAACACAAATTTGGTTTAATTAGTACAGTCCTGTATTTCCCTATTCTGTAATGCTGTATTAATGGATGGTTTACAGCATTTGTTTATATGCTTGTCTCTATAAATCCTTGCTTTATGGTGTTATGTCTTGTTGAAAATGGCAAAATTTATTCTTTTGATTTATCTGATGAGTGACATTTCCTCTATTGCAGGAGGAGGATGACTTGGGTAAAGGTTATCGTCAAACTCACTTGCTCTTAATTTTAGGAAATGTTAAAAAAAATTACTGATCTTCACTAGAATGTGGATTTGGTCTCAGGTCAGATTCTATGAGAAGGATCATACTCGTATACAGTACTGTTTGACATTCAATACTACAGGTGGCATTTCCCATAAGGTATTGGTCGTATGGCATGTACAGTCTCGCTCAATGTATGTGTGGTGGCAACACTTATTTTAAATAATTCAAGATAGAATTTACAATTAAAATTATTTCCCAATATATGTTTGTGTAAATGCAACGTTTTTGTTCAGGGTTGAATCACGACGAGAAAAGCGCGGCAGTCAAGACAAGTCTAGCCCAGGACCCATGAATGGCACCACAAATTCAACCAATCAAGCTGTGGTTGCCAATTACCAGGGGTACCAACAGTCAGGATATGGAGGATACAACCAAGGCTATACTCATGGATATGGTGCATCCCATTACCAAGGATGGGGTTACCCTAACCAACAAGGGGCATATGGGTATGGGCAACAAGGCTGGGGAACCTATGGCAATTATTATGGCCAGAGATAAAAAACATGGAGAGGTCCAGTTCATATTTTATTCTCCTGTTCCATTTCTCAAGTGAATAACATAGTGATGCTTTCATTGTTAGGGTTTCATGTTACATTGGACTACCACATGGCGCATTTGTTATAATGCTGAAGGGAATAGTATAATGCTTTCGTGCATTCCTGGCAACTCGGTCAGGAGTGTGTGTGGTATTTCATATACTGCTCGTCTAATTAACAATATGACAGTGGTGTTGGGAAGTGGTGACATATTATACTATGGATGTAAAGGAGTGAATATTATGGGTGTGCAGGGAAGATAATTTTAAACATATGAGCTTGAGAAATGAAAAACTTATAATTTTCAAGTGTGGTTGGTAAGAAAACCATATGTGTAGATGTCAAAACTTCCAAGAATAATTAGTAATAATAAAGGGTTGGTGGATGCTAAAGCTTTGAAAAAAATGTGTATGTCAGCTATTCACTTGTTCCATTTTAAATGTGTTGGTACAGTATATTGATAACTTTGTACAAAATGCTATTTTAAAAAGTTAATTAATAGGGAAAAAGTGCACTTTCAAAGCCTTTCATTGTTATATGCTTTTATTTATAAAAAGTTACACTTAAGTATCTTAAATGTTTAAAAATAATTGATATTTGTTTTTGTTTGTTTTTCTTCAAGTTTCTTGGTGGAAACAGTACAGTACAGTACAGTAGTCTGAAGTATTGGTGGAAATAGATTTCACCAAATTGTGAAAATTTAATTAAGTTTCATTATCTGGAATGTTATGCCTATACCAGATAGGGCTTCGTTTTATGATTTAGTTAACTATCTTCACCTCCAGCATGGATACAACAATATAAAGGTACGTCATAGTAGTAGAGTGCGTGCGTGCGTGCCTGCAGTCATAAGACAATTGGAAGTATGAATGATTTAGTTATACATGTGAATGACATTGCGTACAAATGTGTGCTAGGGGCCAAGGTATGTGAATGTTCAGGTTTCATGTTATATGACTGTAAATTTCTTAAGCATCTTCATTATCATAAATTGGTCAATGTGATAGTAGTGTGACAGCTTTGGGACAAGAGTCAGCCCATGGCCTCGTTATGCTCTAAATATGAAAGTTTACAATCCCATTATAATGTTGTGGGTGTGTAAACTGGGTAACCTATTTCTGCAATTTTTTTTTAATATAAAAAATGGCATTAAATTGAATGGTATTTGTAATTTTTTCTTGTTTGATGCCCATTACAGTACAGGTATGTTTGAAATATGCACTTCAATAAATAATAGTGGAAAGGAAGATGTGGCTGATAAGTTAAGTGCAACTCTTGTTCATGGAAATAATACAACAGTTTATTTCAGTGGCTAAATTGAGTCATGCCTTTGGGCATTTACTTGGTGAGTAGACATTGAATAAATCCTAGCTACCTTTATCTCCTGACTATCTGCTTCCATTATATATAGGTGGTTATTGCTGGTCAACAGTCTACTTTGAATAGTCCATATGAAGTGGCTGATTTGTGTAGTGAACATTTAATGGGAGTTGAATCTGATGTATTAAGAGTAATAGCTTTGCTTTTATACTCAGATTTACAATGGTGTGGTTGACATCTTGTGGTATGTAAACCCAACATGTTGGTGAGAATCTTGGTCACTGTAAAGTATTATTAGTTTTTTTTTTCTGCAAAGTCCCACAGTATAGTCCACTCACAGCCCAGAGCAATCTGATTCTAGAATAATGGTAGGCACATTTTCTGGTGTTAATGTTTCCATGTGATTAAAACAGATATGAGTACAGTAGGTGGTTATGGGACACGTTAAAATGAATCGTTGGGACGACTTGGTTATTTCAAGTGCAATTTTGGAAACTGGGAACCTGTGACCCCAGTTGGAGTTGATGATTAAATAACATTCTCTTATAAATTATATGTGTAACCTGTTGTTAAATCAAAGTTCAGTTGTGTGTGATGGGCATTTATAAATCAGAACTTCTATGAATACAGTACAGTAGTAGGAAGTAGATAATCAAGTTTCATTGAATATTAGTTTTGTAAATAGTGTGATCTATTTAATACAAAACTTTGTTAACATAGACAAAAGCATCATAAGTGCATTGGCAGTACCAGTAAGAGCTATTGATAATTTCAATATGTTTTGTTAGCCTTACCTTTTGTCTATCAGTGTGGCGTGAATCAAGTACATAAAGCTTGTTAAACGTTCATGTGTATTTTCAAGTTTGTTCAGTGTGATAAGAGGAATCATAAGGACTTCCAGGTTCAGTAGAATGCTTCACATTAATTCTTTCACACACTCAAAGTTGAGATTTTTAATAAAACTTGGGTGACCACTCATTCTTGGACTCCCAAGTAGGAAATGACTACTGTAGTACATGATCATTCATCGACTTCATATCCAAAAAAGCGACTTATCTCACGTGTCGTGTATCTGTGTCTCATCCCTTTTGACAAGCTGAACTGCGACTTATCTCACGTGTCGTGTATCTGTGTCTCATCCCTTTTGACAAGCTGAACTGATAAATGTAGAATTAATTTTGTGACAATTTAGAAATGGTTTTTGCATTGCAGTGACCAAGATTACTTTATTTTATATTGTTTCCTACATTTGAATACTGTATGTGGTTATCAGCTACAGATTAGTGAGGGTTTATTGCATTCATTGTTGAATTTACTCAATGTACAAAAAAAAAATATAGGCAATTTGTTTTCAGGTTTGAAAGAATAATCTTCCTTAAGGATGTCATACATTGGTCTAAACATCCTGTCAGAATAATTTAAGCAGACAAGTTGTTTGCCAAATTATTGTTAGATTATACATAAGCAATAGTATATATTTTATATTTAATGCTGTGTTTGAAATGAGCCAAATTATGAACTAGTGCAGTAGACAATCACCTCAACTAATGTGTAGAAATGTTACACATTAATCACCTTCGCTAGTAAAGTTTCACAAGAATTCTGAATCTGTAGTTTCAAGCACATTTTCAGATACTTATTAAAGTGCATAATTTTAAAACTCTTTCATTTTACACAATTATGTACTGCATTGGAAATGTTATGCATAAAAAAAATTTGACTCAATTCCATGGGCCATATACATTTACTGTACAGTGAACCCCTGCTAATTTGGACTTCCTGTGGAGAGCAGTTGTCCAAAATAGCAGATTGTCAAGATTATGAGGAGGTAAGTCTTCTACTGCCGTACATGGTTACCAAGTAGAATTATTAGTTATTGGCTGTGTCAGGTGACCAAGGTGTTAGTCTTGGCTGTGTCAGGTGGCCAGGGCTTTAGTCTTGGCTGTGTCAGGTGACCAAGGTGTTAGTCTTGGCTGTGTCAGGTGACCAAGGCTTTAGTCTTGGCTGTGTCAGGTGACCAAGGCTTTAGTCTTGGCTGTGTCAGGTGACCAAGGCTTTAGTCTTGGCTGTGTCAGGTGACCAAGGCTTTAGTCTTGGCTGTGTCAGGTGACCAAGGTGTTAGTCTTGGCTGTGTCAGGTGACCAGGCTTTAGTCTTGGCTAAAGGTTTAGTCTTGGCTGTGTCAGGTGACCAAAGGCCCGCTGTGTCTGGTGACCAAGGCTTTCGCTCTGTGTCAGGTGACCAAGGTGTTAGTCTTGGCTGTGTCAGGTGACCAAGGTGTTAGTCTTGGCTGTGTCAGGTGACCAAGGCTTGTAGTCTCTGTGTCAGGTGACCAAGGTGTTCAGTGACCAAGGCTTTTGTCAGTGACTTTAGTCTTGGCTGTGTTCAGGTGACCAAGGCTTTAGTCTTGGCTGTGTCAGGTGACCAAGGGCTGTTAGTCTTGGCTGTGTCAGGTGACCAAGGCTTTAGTCTTGGCTGTGTCAGGTGACCAAGGCTTTAGTCTTGGCTGTGTCAGGTGACCAAGGCTTTAGTCTTGGCTGTGTCAGGTGACCAAGGCTTTAGTCTTGGCTGTGTCAGGTGAGGGTGTGTCAAGTAGTGATCATCAGAAGGTTCTAGTTATTCTGTCCAAGGCTTTAGTCTTGGCTGTGTCAGGTGACCAAGGCTTTAGTCTTGGCTGTGTCAGGTGACCAAGGCTTTAGTCTTGGCTGTGTCAGGTGACCAAGGCTTTAGTCTTGGCTGTGTCAGGTGACCAAGGCTTTAGTCTTGGCTGTGTCAGGTGGCCAGGGTGTATCAAGTAGTGATCATCAAATAATGAAGGTTCTAGTTATTCTGTTGGATTTAATCAAATCATAAATTGTATAAAAATAAGATACATTATCACCAGAAGAATAATTTACAATGTTTTTAACAGAGCAATGGGATATATAAATGCACACACAAGACAGATGTTCACAATGCGGTTTAATGACTTTTCATCTATATTCTGAAGATTTCGGTTTGCTTATTAAGAAATTAGGTAATGTGAAGAGTACTACTGTCTTGCTATGAACACTCATTATAGTATTAAACTTGACTGGCCAACACCTCATTATAGATTAAAAACTTTTGTTCCACCTTCATACTTGTGTAGTGTTAACCCCTTCAGTACAGTGATATCACTCTTAATATTTTATTTGACTAATGGCAGACGATTTTATTCTGAGAGGGGACCCCATACACAAGTTATTAACCCAGAGACTAAAAGGGTTTATGAGGGAACCTGCAGCATCATCGTTACAATGGTAACCACCTCTGTGTACACAAAAGATGTTTTCCTTTTAGCTTGTTACCAAGACAATTAATTTAACATTGTAAAAAGAGAATACCTAGTGTTTTAACTTGGAGAGAGGGGGAAAAAAAGACAAACAGCTTTGTAAGTAAATTAAAAATAAATAAATTTATACCTTTACTTGGGTGTAGTAAAGTCAGTACATGACAGTAAAGTAATCAGACAGCAGCTATTTTTGAATGATGTCCCGTGTAGCCACCAGTGCCACTATACGAAGAGGAACATGAGCCACAGGTGCATCTTGAGGCGGGGAGTACCACAGGTTGGGAAGGTACTGCCGCTCTTCTAGAGGGACCTCCCCTGGTTGTACTGTTGCCTCTTGATAAGCAACATTGCTAGGATGACCTATAATATTCAATTGTAATATTTGTCAAGGAATTTATTACTGTACATACACTGTTAATGGACTAAAGAATGAAATTTATCCCACTACAACATTATTATCAGTGCCTTCCATAATTGATGCAATGTAGAGTTAGGAATATAAGATAACAAACTAACAGCAGTTCAGAAAACAAAGAATTAAAAGGGACACAAGGAGAATCTTTCAAGCAACTGCCGAACACAGCTGCTGAGAGGAGTAACCTTATCATATTTGAGATGTGTCCAGGTGAAACTGACAATCATTAAGTGAAGAATGGTAAGGCACCAGTTGAGGGAGTTACTGTTGAGATGGGAGGTGGAACACTGAGAGAATGAATGAGTAACTGGCAGATTGTTCCACGAGTTCTAAACTCTCACTCGCAAAAAAGTTACCCTTCATAGTTTTCTGGATTTGTGGCTTCTTCAACCTTGAGCTGTGGAGCGGGCAGCATCCGTTAACTTCAGGTATGGACACTCGACTGAGATGTTTATAAACTTCATCGAGGTCACCCCTTGCCAGTCTGTAGTATAAGCTAGGCAGTTGCAGGTGTTCTAATTTCTCTGGATAACTGAGGTGCCATAGGGCAGACACCAGTCTGGTGCCCTCATTTGGACATTTTCAATCAGCTGACAGCCTCTAGTCTTGCAACCACCAGCTGGGTGTTTGGTGGTTGTGATCTGTACGATAAAAGCATTAGATTATCTCGAGGGTTCCTTGGGTTGAAATGAGTGGCCACAGTTGACAGCCTTTGTTTTTAAAATGTGGGTATTAATTCTTAATTCCTCTGCATTACAATACTCACATCAGGTCTTCAGTTTCATGTAACACACTATAAAAATTTATTTTTATTTATATTGTAGATTTTTATGCCGGTTCCAAAAATGTGATTCTTTCTTTGGAGAAATGAATAACAAGAAAGTTACATTACTTTAATTATAGTATTTTGTACATTTGGCCTATAATCAGAAATGCTTAATTTTTTAAATTCCGAAGTGAAACAAAAGCACATTAATGTTTAATGACATGCAATGCATAATGGAAATTTTTGGGAATATTTTTTTGTATTTGCTTGAAAAGTTCTTGGTTTTCATGCCATGCTTAATGACACATATAACACAGTAATGCTTATTGCTAAGTGGAAAATTTCAGAAATATATATACACACACTGCCTTACAAGATTGCATACATTTTATGGGACACCCTTACAGTATGCAGGGCATATGGAAATTCAGGTTACGTTAGGTTTGGTTAACACTTCAATGTAAAACATTGAAAGTTTAAAAGACTATAATTTGTTTGTTATTCATTAAAAAAATCGCAGAAGGTGTATTTGAAATCAGCATAAAAATCTACATGGGAAAAATCTGTTTTATGAGTGCGGTACATGAAATCGAAAATTTCCACACATCTTCCAAGTGCAGCTGAATTTCTGTATGCGGATAGTAATATTTATAATTAATATACCATAAATTTAAACAAATTAATGTTATCCTTGGTTTATTTTTTTTAACAACTTCGGTAACCCCATGGGTTCGAGGGTTTGGTGGTTCGGTATCACTGAATGTTTGCATAGAAACCTTAATATACTGTATGGTTATTTAGTGTTTTATAATATATATATATATATATATCAGGAATTAAAGTTAAAATATTCTAAAATCATGTCTGGTAAATCGTACACCTGAGGTTGGTGGTGTTAGTGGTGGCAGCAGACGACACCACAGCTGGCTGGGGCTGAAGGGTTCACACAGTCAGTCACCAACTTGTTGTTGTGCCGTGATGGTGTTGGTGAGCGTCACTGTGAGTACGTGATTATGTGGTGTACTTGGTGGTAGTAGTGAGTGTGGTACTGTGCCAAATTGTTGACCACCTTTTTTTTTATTTACGCGTTGTCATGGTGGACGTGCTGAGTTATTTTGAACATTGAGCTTGACCAGACAAAAAGGTTTATAAGCAGTGGTTTGGCTGGCTCCTTCACAACAACATGTACACTACTGACGAGCTGTTACTACAAGACGGCCATCATCAAGTTGTTTGTGGCCGTTATCATATTTGATGGTAGTTTTTCCTTAATTTTAAGCTGCATGTGAACGGTCAGGTCGGTAAGATCATTATTGGCCTATCAAGCACTCGTTATTGGCAGTTTAGTCATCTTTTTATGTATTTAAAGCCTCCCGTAAATAATAGTGATTATTATATTTTGTTATCAACTTTAATGTTAATCGGGAATTTTGTTTAAAGTAATCGTAAGTTTGAGTATTTTCCTGTGGTTGAATTCTAGTCTAGCTTAATTTGTTGTTTAAGTAAATGTAATCACTGCAGTGTTTGTGATATGGTTTTTGATAATAACTAAGGTCAGGGGTCTTTTCCTTAATCTTGGCATAACTTTTAGCTCGCATCCATAAGCCTAAGCCTCAGGTAGAGCCAGGTGACTTAATGATTACCTGTCCACGTCTGACTTCCTCACCAACCATTTTGATCAGTTGCCGAGTCGTCATTTACTTTCTGCTTCAATGTTTGATGAATGAAACAAGATGACTGTAAATTTGTCATTGCGGTATGTCGACGTAACAGCCACCAACCACCCATTTCCATGAACTGTAATGGTTGTTTAGGAAGACAGTGTGTGTGTGCAGATCGTAGTCAGTGTGTCGATGAAGAACTCCATGTACTTGCATTGTTCCACAGGACATATACAACTTGACCTAGAGTACAGGTCTGCCACGAGACACACGCAACCAACAAACTGAGCATTGTAATGTACAAAAAATTGGCATCCATTTGGAAATCTTACAAGTACCGCTTTGTTCCCTGGCTGGCGTTCAACTTCCAGAAAAGGTAAGTTTTTATTGTATTGGTGGAGTTATTCTTTATTTTAATGTGCATGATATAGGTACAGTACGTTGATGTCTATTGGTACGGCAGCTTAATGTGCATGTGTGGGTGGACTATACTGTACAATGTAACCTAATCTCTCTGCCCAAGTGGAAGGAAGCACATTTGGTTATGTGGGATTCTCTGCCATACCATTGACCACACATTACATCAATGCGGCTGCTGTACCTGCATCTAGTGTGTTATTTTAATGTGCTTACTAATAGTTAATTAGCTACTGTATTTTAAAACAAGTGTAGCAATTAACTTGGTCTAACCACACATGTCACTGTAAAATTATCACTTAGAATCAGTATTATGTACAGGTTTGGAATCGGGATTTACAAAAATTCAGTACAGTATTTTAATATTGTCCGCTAACTGTTGTGAGAATGTATCTAGTTGAGGTTGTCTATTACTGATAATCTTTTACAAAATTGTATACAGTATTTTTATATTAATGCACAGCCATAAGAGCAAACTTACAATACAGTATATACTGTCCAGTACTGTATACAGCACAGTATGAGTTGTAATTTTCATTCTTAATATAATTAGTTTGGAAAGCAAGTTAAGCAAAAAAAAAATCTGTAAAATTGAACACTAGCTATTTAACTTACTGGTAATTATCAGGTAAATGTAAATAAAATAATTGCACCATTTTTTTTTTACAATACTGTAGGTCATTAGTCTGCTTGTTAATTATCAATTTTTTCATGGTGTTTTTGTTCTGATATTATGATATTCTTCACTACCATGACATGCACACATGAAACTAGAGAGGTGGGGAACAGAATACTGTAGCTACATTGGGCTGTCATGCATGGCTGTACAGAACACCCACAGTATCATTTTCACTATTTCATCTGGTGCCAGTGCCACATTGATGACAGGTACAATATAGTACTGATAAAAATATATTCAATGCTTCTGCCTGCAGCCATTCCAAATATACAGTAGATTAGAGTCACATCAACTGTGGATCTACCAGGACTAATAGGGACCATGAACAAACTGCAGGCTAGTTGCTGCTGATAAAAGTGGACAAACACAAAAATATCTATCTTCTTCATGTGTTGTTCTGAGCTCCTGCTTATCAAGACAATTTTAAATGGCATTAGATCATGACCATTCACAGTCAAACTCCTTTCTTTCTTTGTCAGTAGATGAGGATGGTCTTCCAAATAGCAACATAGTTCTGTTATGGTAGTGGTGTGTTCAGGTGGCTATATTTATTGTATGAAGACTCAGAGCCCACCATTTCAGTGTTGAGTTTAATTCCCATAAGGGCACCTGGGCTATGACCATATAATAAATGTGGATTCTATGAACTTTTTTCTTTTTTCACTACTTAAATACATATACCCCCTTTTAGGTTCACTAAACATAATTAAGTATACTGTATACGGTACATCTTCTAGCACAATTAAAAGCACATTACATCTGCAAGAGCACCACTATACGGTAATTTGGGAGACCTTATAACCATACATATTCCTTAAAGGTTTCTTTGGCATTGGTTTGTCTATCTGGTAAATTTAGAAAACTGAAATTTTGTCTTGATTCTCTTCACAAATTAGGTACAATACTATATTCAGGAAACTGTTTTGTATTTGGCATCAATTATTTATCAATTCGGAATAAAAATTTGACAATTTTGAATGTCGGTGTTTATATTACAGTATTATTTTTAGATCTTTTTCCAGCATTTAAAAGCTATATATTTTTTGCATTCACTTCACTTTTCACTGCTTCCTTGTGTAATTTACTGGTGGCAAATAAAAAGGAGAATTTACAGATAGGCATATGTAATATTTTTGAATTCCACGGGTAGCCATTTTAAATCAGAAGCCATAACACACATTCTTCAAGGGTGCCACAGTAGCACTTGGCATCGTAAACCACCAAAAAACTTTATACAGTACTGTCCTATACGCCTAAACACACTTTTAGCTCTGGACACAAGATTAATGTGACTTTACAAAGGTATTAGAGGTATTGTAATCATATATGGATGAGGACTTATTAAAATATACCACATCTGTCAAAAAACATTATTAAACATTTTTGGAATTTACATTATAATAAAATTGCTCACCTACGGTTAGAGATTCAGTATGGTATTAAATGGGTTACATTACCGGGTCACGCTATGGACAGTCTTGTAATGTGAGGGAATAGTACCATCTCATTCTTCATCTACCCAAACCTAAGTGAACCAGAATTAACTTTTGTTTGGCCAAGCTTGACCAAATCTTACCTTAAACAAATTGTCTCTAACCTAATTTAGCCCAATTTTAAGTAGACCTAGCTGAACCTTAACCTAACCTAACTTTAACACATTCTGACCTAACAATGTTAACCTTACCTGAACTTATCTTAATGAAATTTGCCTTATCCAAAGCGGACTTAAACGAGCATCTTTACCCTAGCCAAAGGTAATGTCACATTAAAACAACCTAACTTGACCTTAGTCAATCATTACCAGATAAGAGGAGTAGCTGCTGTGTAATTTCGCAATTCTTAGCTAATTGTGTCCACCGTTAATCATTTATTGGTGCATAGTCTGCATACCCCAGTCAGTATCCTAGTTAGTTGCTATAAATTATGTACAGTACTGTACAGTAGTTTCATTTGTGGATTATGAAAAGTATTGTTCAGTACTGTACTGTCTATGTTAGGTACTGTATATTTTATTGAGGTTTACCTTTGAATACATAAAGGCATTAGATCACTCGTTACTGTACAGTACAGTAAATTTTTTCAGGGATCTATCACTTGTAAGATGACATGATGAATGTTGCCTAGTGATGGGGGGGGGGTAGCTTCTGTTACTGTGTCCGCCATGACATTTTCATTAGTTTTGAAGGAGGAATTATACAAAATAATCCTCGGTTCATATCTAAATTACAATTTACCCATATTGAAGTTTATAGTTATGCACAAAAAAAAATATGATGGAATGCACACTTATGTTTTGGATGAGTAAGTTGAAGGGGCCATGTGAACAGCAACATAAGGAAGGTGTGATTGTTACTGGGAGTGGAGGTGCCAAACAAAGGTACGACCAGAAATACTCGCAGGTGGACCAGGAAGGTTAACAGGTACATGTACGTTGTGTGTGTACAGTAGTTCTTTAACCCCAACTACTAGGGGAACGGGGTTATCGTCTTCGATTTGTTTGGACATATATTAAAAAAAATAGGTTGGCAGAATTGAATAAATATTGACAGAAGAATTGTGTATTAGCTAAGTATGAACAGATAAAGTATTGAGAAGGAAGGTCAGTTTTGCGCCGCACAAGCTAGTGTTTTGAAGAGTGTGCCCAGGAATAGTCAACGGGAAAACTTGTTCAGTATTGTATAGTTAATTATGAATTTTACACAAACTCTGTAGTCTTTGGGTTTATCATGACCCGGTCTCCAACGTACTTGTATATAGTCGTGGTGCAGGTAATAAGCCTAGTGATACTTTTTTATTCACCTTCGTTATATAGTATGCATATGCTACATTCGCAGGGACATTTAAAAACCTATCTTGGTAGTTTCATCCGACAACTGAGTTTAATCCACCTAAAGTTTATTCACTCCAACACTACCTGGCGGGGCTAATCTTCATGTGACGCTGGATCTCATAACTCGCTTGAAGGTCCCCCAGCTTAACCACCCACGACACTACCAGTGGGTGGGGCTTATCTTCAGGTGATTTCGTGCGGTGTAAAGGTTAGTAAGCTATATATACGGCATCTCTGGTCTAGACAACTATTCCTGTTAAGTCAGCCCGATGTATGTTTAGTCACTTAATTATGATAAGAGGTATTTAGGTTGAGCGTTTGTGACATGTAGCAGTAGAGGGGTAGTTATCGGCACCTGGGAAAATTGTGAGTTGTGTGCAGGAGTTAGGAATTGTGACGTTAAAAATCACTTACGTAAAGTCATAAACCAATTAACGACCAGGAATTGTTGTCATGGTTGTTGGGGTAACCAAACGTAAATTACTCGAAATGTGAATTATATAGTTTCATGTGTACCTCAAATATACTGTAAATATAGGCCTAATTCTTTCTCCCTCCTTACACACACTGATCACTACCCTTACGCTTCACAGTTCTTCTCTTAACACCAACAATATTAGAAAAAAAATTACTTCCTTCACCGCCAGTCACGTGACACTGGGGAATAATAACTTTTTTACCGTAACTTTAACTGAATATTTTACTTGTAACAACCCAGCGCCATAGGTGATTGGTAATACTTATGTAGAGTTAGTTGTGGTCTTTGATGTTTAAGATAATGTTGTTTGATAAATATGAATAGTGTCTTGTTACCATCTGGCATCGTCTACTTGAGGGTCATGCAGGAAAGAGTGATTGTGATTTTTTAAGTATTTATTCGGACCATTCTTTGTATTATAGTGTTTTTTCTTATTGTTAAATCTAATGTAATATATAATGCAAAGCAGCAGCGTTCACTAGCTATAAACCAACGCCATATGTCTCACAGGTAGATGCCAGATATTGCCAAATGTCGAGAATTTTGGCAACAAGTGTACCTACCGGCCGTGGTGTAGTGTTTCTTGACAGTATTGTACTAAGGTCAAAGTGTCAAAGAAGTTTTACTAAGGGGAGAGTTGTGTACCCGACTATATATAGACGTCGGCTCATATACATCTTACCTTACAGGCCCTGGCTCTTCATCTAATGTCATACAGGATGCAAAAAAAAAAAAAAAATCTTCGTGGGCTGACCAGTGGTGAACACCCATCCTCTTCCCTCCGTCTATAAGCTCCCCGTCCGGTGAAGTTTAACATACAAGCCAGCCAATGGACGCTGCGTTGCCATACACTGTCATTTACCCCCTACCTCGAGTTGTATGGCCTCAAGTGAACTTTTATATAAACCATGCAGTGTATTTTGTGATTAAGAGTGACGTTCACACGGTCAAGCAGAACGTTGTGTGTGTGATCTCCAGTGAATGACCCTGACTGACCACAGCCCGAGTTATTATGACCTCCGGTGAAATCCATTTATTGTACTGTGACCTGTGTTGACCCCTATGTCACCATGACTTGAGTTGTATGACCTTAAGCGAATTTAGATTAACATAGTTTGAGTTATTTGACTTCCAGTGAACCCTACAACACCATACATTGACTTGTATGGTGCCCAGTGAACCTCACAGTCTTGTACCACATTGTATTATATTACTGAGTGAACCCAGCATGACCACATAGTTTACTCCTCGGCCTCTCAAGAACCCTAACTTACCACATAGTGTGTTATCATGTCAGCTGAGATGATCTTTGACAACCTCGCCTGTCGTTTGTACAACACGTCATCCTCGTCTTAATTACAATACTGTGTCTCTCATGTTGTTGGATTGCAGATTTCTCAGTTGGAAACGTCGGTAAAATTGGTAGAAGTTGTTTTTGTGGTTCTTTGACGCTGGTGATGTAAATCTGCACAGTTGTCAGATGTACGGGGGAGAGTTGTGGCGGTAGTTGACGTCACGGCGTTAAATGTTTCCAGCTTCGCTTGACGTTATGTAATTTATTGGTGGCAGGTGGCGACACGGAGTAAAGTACTGTATATGGTAAAACACAGCTCGTCACTCAGTTTTTCCTAACTCGTGGGGTGAGAATAAGAATGATGTGTAAGTTCAGAACAGTCAACCTAGGTCGTCGTAACAAATTGTCAGTATTTAGAGAGAATGTTAAGCTACCATTAAGAAGTAAATAGACCAGTGTACACGAACTATCAACAGGTAGCCAATAAGAAAATGCCGCCCCTAAGAAAGTTAGGTTCTTTGACAGAGATCTGTCTGGAGTGTGTGTGGCGGTGGTTGCACCGCTGTGTGGGTCCTGCCGCCACCACCAGGAACGGTCGTCGGCTACAGACCCAGTACTTGGTGTCAGCCCTCAACTCCAGCCTCCGTCAGCGGCTCCTGATCATCATCTGTAACATCAAGACAGAACTTCTCATGGAGAGTAAGTGTAAGTTGTTACAGGCGCTGGGTGACAACAGTACACAGTGGATTGACTTCAGCGGGAGCGGCTCCGTCTTCTACGATGAGATAATGCGCCTGTACAACACCCTGTGTGTCGCCAACATATACAACCTCACGCGGCTGGGGGTAGTTTGTGATATGAAGTCAAGGATTGATCAGAAATATATATCCGCTGTTAACAGTACATTTTACTGGCCGCTAAGAAAGATGAGCAATTTGCGTTGGCTTACTCTGGGTGGTGTAGCTGATGGCACCATCCTGGAAATTTTAGGCGCCAACTGCCACCACCTGCAGTACCTCGATGTGTCCCACTCGTTGAAGGTGGATAACGACGCCGTGGCAGCTTTTTTACTCAAGGACCCAGGAGCAATACAGGGGTGGAACCCCCAGCAGGTAGGTCATCAAGAATTACCAACTAGTACCACTCCCTGCTGCACCACCCTTAACCAGGTGTGTGTGAGCGGCACCCAGGTGAGCATGATGGGTGCTGTTCTGCTGTTGCGTCATGTGCCACAGCTGAGGTCCTTAGGCGGTTATATTCACGACTGCTCCATCTGTCAAGTCATCGAGATTCTCCAGCCAGAAGGAGGAGTGACACAGTACAAGCTAAACCACTTGTGGGACGCCATAATCAGGCCACGCCACACTTCCCTGCTGAATGCCACGTGTCCCTCTATTACTGCCGTCACCACCTGCCAAGCCTCACTGCCTGTACTGTACCTCCTCCAGCCCCTCGAGTCCTTGTCAGTTGATGTAGACTTTAGACACTGCACAGAAGCCTTGTATGACTACCTGGTGGTGAGAGGAGACACCCTGAGACAACTCATCCTCACTAATAGTGTATACTACCCCCTCGACCTCGCCTGCCTCATACAATTTACCCCGAGGCTGGAGCGGGTCGAGGCCACCGTCACAGTGAAGCAAGAAGACATCAACTTCCCTGTCTGGACGACCCTGAAAGTGGCGTCGGTCAAGGTGGAAAATTCAGCTTCCATCCTGGCCCTGCTGACCCACACCCCTGACTTACGTGACCTCGACCTGGCCTTCCTGGAGGGGATATACACCGAGGAGACGTACGAGAGCATCAGCGACGACCTCCTCCTGCAGATCTTGACGGGTGGTGGCCTCAAGACTCTGGAGAAGTTAAGAATAAGTCGTTGTATGATCAGCAGGAAGGGGGTGAACTATCTGCTGCTCGCCTGCCCTAACCTACACTACCTGGCGCCCCTCATCTTTTGGCCCAATGTTTCACTCGTCGACGTGGAGAAGCTGCGGGCGAGAGCAACACAGAACAACTGGGTGTTGAGGATTGTGATGCGTTCAGACGAGGAGTGACCCACGTCTGGGGTTGTAGTTACGTGTGTGGGCACTGTGAGGTGAGCTGGGCACGGGGGTATTGATAGGTTGGTGTTTGTACATATTTGTCTGTCTGCATGAATGTGTTGTTTTTATATACATTTATGATACATACCGGTATATACATTCCTATCTAAATTACATGAGTTCTCAGAGTTCCTGTCGAGAGAGGATCATGTAATTGGTGAAGAGGATGAAAGAAAGTAAGGCTTGGTTTCTGACATTATTGTGTATGTGTTAAGAAATGAACTTAGAATAGGAAGTCTTCTTTCACTGACGAAGAATTATTCATCTTACCAGGGAGTATATTCTTTTTACAAGTCTTGAGATAACATTGTGTGATGTATGATGGCATGTGTTGGACATTGACGTTTGGCACGGTGGCCGAGAGTGTTTGGCCATCTGCCTACTTATGTGGCCACACACTTGGGTCTGAGCCACTCTTGCTGTGTTACTGTTACTTATGTGGCCACACCCTGGGGTCTGAGCCACTCTTTGGTTACTGTTGCTTTTGTGGCCACACCCTGGGTCTGAGCCACTCTTGCTGTGTTACTGTTACTTATATGGCCACACCCTGGGTCTGAGCCACTCTTGCTGTGTTACTGTTACTTATGTGGCCACACCCTGGGTCTGAGTCACTTGCTGTGTTACTTAGGTGGCCACACCCTGGGGTCTGAGCCACTCGTGCTGTGTTACTGTTACTTATATGGCCACACCCTGGGTCTGAGCCACTCTTGCTGTGTTACTGTTACTTAAGTAGCCACACCCTGGGGTCTGAGTTCGTGCTGTTACTGTTAGTTATATGGCCACACTTGGTGTTACTGTTACTTATGTGGCCACACTCTGGGGTCTGAGCCACTTTTTGTTGTGCTACTTATGTGGTCACTCACTTGAGTCGAGTCACTTTCTGTGTCACTTATGTGGCCACACACTTGGGTCTGACACGCACTGTGGCAACTCATTAAAAGTAGTTTGTAAGTTTGGATACTGTAAGTTGGTTACAAGATCGCACTGTGCGTGTGTGTCCAAATACCAGTGCCATGGTAACATTGAATCCCTAAACTGACATTTGAGTTTGGACATAAATTATATGAGTTAGGGAGATAAACACACTCATACCATCTGTGAACCTTTCCAGTGACACTTTACCATATTTTTCGTGATATTCCTCGTCTGATTGATGTGTCATTATATCTAACAAAATAAAACAGGTGTCAGGTATCTGTGTCTGTTAACTTGATGAGTGTTTTTCCTGAGTTACTGACTATTGACCAACTAACACACTGAAAGATTGTTTTTCTGAACAGTCTATATTAAGTAATTTTAGTTTCTGTTGTGATGAGGAGGTTAATATTGTTTTGGTTATAAACATTGTGGATGATGTAGTGTGGGCACCTGTAACTACTCATAGATGGAGGAGTTAGTTATAATTACTGAGAGAACTTTCTTCTTGCAGACTCTCCAACGTGACGTGTAGCGAGTCACTTGAGGAGAGGCCGGGCACGAGTGGTACTGTACTGTACTGTACTGTCAAGTTGGTTTTGTCAGCCGGTGAGCCCTCGTAGTGTGCTAAGCTCATAGGTTTTGTTTACTGTCAGATGAGGAAGTTAGATACTGCCGTACATCAATTTCCTCATTACTAGATACAAGTTAAGTTATTACCTACTTGTGCTTCGGCAACACTAAGTCAGCAGGATGCCTCCCTTCAAGACCATTGGCTCCCTGACGGAGATCTGCACTGAAAGGGTGTGGCGGTGGCTGTACCACTGCCTCAACTACCAGGCAACGCCCCGGGACCGCATGAGACAGCGTGCGTACATCCTCGCTACCCTCAACTCAAACATTCGTCAACAGCTGCTCAACTGCATCCTCAGAATCCACACACAGGAAGTCATGCTCAGTAGTAAATGCATGTTGTTGGAGCTGCTGGGTGACCGCAGCACACAGTGGGTCGACGTCTCCCGCAGCGGCTACAGTTATGTGGACGAGGTGTTCCACTTCTACCGCACCCTCACCCTCAGCCTTCTCATCAACCTCACACGACTGGGAGTCATATGTAATGTGAAGTCAAAAATTGACAGCAAGTATTTATTGGAGATAAACAGCACGTTCTATAGAGTGTTAAACCAGATGCGTCACCTGCAGTGGGTCACTCTGGGTGGTGTGGCCGACCAAACTATCTTAGCCACTTTGGGTGCCAATTGTCACCAGCTAGAGCATCTTAATGTGTGTGGCTCTATAAGGGTAAATGATCAAGCTTTGGCTGCCCTGTTGCTCAAGGACCCACTGGCTGTGGAAGGTCGCAGCATGAAACAAGTTATAGATAAGAATATTGCGACCAATCCTTGTTGTGCGACTCTGACCTTCGTGTGTGTGAGTGAAACAGAGGTTACTCTCATCGGCGCCGTCCTCCTGCTGCGTTGTGTGCCCAACCTGACATCCCTCGGTGGCGCTGTTGAGGATGGCTCCCTCTCTAGTGTGATCCACATGCTGCAGCCAGAGGAAGGTGTGGCAAGCTATAAGCTGAACCACCTGTGGGATGACAGAATTTCCCCAGATCAGGCCTCGCTGCTTAACGTGGCATGCCCTGAACTGACCTCTGTAACGACTACTGTATATTCATTGCCTTCACTCCACCTCCTCTACCCCATAACATCCCTAACAGTCGACCTCTACTTTCGTGGTGGTTCAACTAGCATATACAACTACCTCCAGTTACGAGGAGCCAACTTGAAGGAACTGGTGCTAAGTAACAACATCAGCTGCCCTCTCGACCTTGGTTGGCTGATGGAACTAACACCCAACTTGGAGAGAGTTGAGTCCAGCTTGTACCTGGAGGAAGGGTACGAGATCCTTGGTTGGAAGAATGTCCAGGTGGCGTCGGTGAGGGTGAACTCATCCAAAACACTGATCGCCTTGTTGTCTCACATCCCTAGGGTGAAAGACCTGAGCATAATCTTTGAGCCGGAGCCCTACACGGAGACCTACGAGTGTATCAACGACGACCTGGTCATCAACGCTTGCATCTCCGGGGGCCTCACACACCTGGAGACGCTAAGTATCGCCGAGTGTGCCGTATCCCTCCAGGGCTTAAACTGCCTACTCCTCCACTGTCCTGAACTGAGCTATGTAGCGCCACTTCTTTTCTGGACTAATATCACACAAGACGACATACGCCACCTACAGTCACAGGCAGCTCACAGCAACTGGCGGCTAAAACTTGTACTACGTGAACATAGCTCTGGGAACATCACCTGCAGCATGTTAATTTGATGAAGTATAAGGGCCTCAAGTGGCATGTATAAAGTGATCACTCGTTGGCTGTGAGCAGTAGCTATGTGTCACAAGGAAGGAACATTTGAACCCAGGTTATACTGGTAACTCATCTTTCATTTAGCTAATGTGTATAGGTAAACAGTGTTATTACCTTGAACTCACTTCATTTTCTCTTGCGTATATACTGTACTGTAGTTTGTTTATTTACACTGTGGCTCTCTGGTGACTGATTCACCCATTTGGTTAACAACAGATGGAAGTGATTGTATTATGGGAGTTTATTACAGAGCTCTCCCCAAGTACGTGGGTATTTGGTGCCAACGGAGCGGCACATACCTGGGAACCGTGCACTGTACTGGGTACTTAAACTAATGGGGGATAAAACCATTGGTTCTTGAACCTCTCCAGATATACACCGTGAACCCAAAATTGGTCTTTCAAAGAAGTTTTTCTGCACATAACCTCTGTAAAAGTTACCCTCAGTTATATTTGTGTACCTTATTTATATAAGGTGAATAATAAAACAGAAATAAACCCTTAAATAAGAAGAATACCGTAAACATTTTCCAGCCAGTCTATTATCTCCTTGTGTGCCAGGGTCTTCGACTTCACTCTTCTGCCTGGCTGGGGTCCCAACAGCAGTAGGTGGGGGTAGCTGTAGCAGCCAAAACACCTAAAAAATACAGGAAAAAGCAAGCTGCTGTAGTGTCTTAAGGAGAGGAGCACTGGGACTGGCGTCTGCATCGTTGGTGACGTCACAGTCAGGAAGTGATGTCCTCGTCTTTTATTGGTTGGTAGTGGCCACTCGGCCAATCAACAACCAGCTTTTCTGCTTATGTCCTCTCTCCCTCCCCCAATTGGCCATGCCGCACGGAAATTTATGCCCGTGTACCTTGTAATTTGGATTGCATGGCATTGATGCGCATAGTTGGGTTCCGCGTGGTTAAAATCAGCGTACTCGGGGAGAGCGCTGTATAGTGTTGCTTCACCTGACACACTTGTGTGTTGGCGTGATGGAGGATGGATGGCCCTTCTTACTTTACTGTATTTCTAGACGTCATGTTACGGGAATAGGATTGGCACCAATGTATGTGTGTGTGTGTGTTATACACACATATTGAATAAATATTATATTGTAGTGCCAACTTTGAACTCTTGATATAACATCTTGAGGCTATTTCACATGTCATCATCCAGGTGGTCGTTTATATACTGTACATGATTGAGATTTGTTTTGATTTTACTGAGGGAGGAAGGGAGGGTGATACATAGTGGAAATATTTTCATATTATATAAAGAGATTATAGATACAGTTCAGTACCCAAATACCAGTAGATATTTTATAGACATTTTCATCTTTAGTCAAGGAAAAGGGGTTCTTAATGCCTTCAGTTATGTCATGAGTTATATATTTAACTAGTCCAGCCATGTGTTGATCACTGACTACCTGTAGCTACTGTACTAGTGAGATGCAAGACTACAGTAAGGTAACTTGTTGAGTGTGTTGGTCTACCTCCCACCATGGCGGCTACTCTTGTCATGCTCTGCTTCTAAAACATGCTACCCAACCTAGCCTGTGATTGGCAAATATATTAAGTATACAGTACAGTAGTTTGAAAAATCTTAAATTTGATTGGTTATTGGGTACCAACTAGGGAGCATCGTATAAAGCATAATCAAATGTCAAACAATATGGGCTTCGAGAGCATATACACGCAGCCGGGCATATTACCAGTCCCTCACTAATTCATCCTCGACCATTTCCTGTTAAATCTTGTTTCATGTTACTCGAGAATAGATAAGTAAATTTAGTATCTTTCCCTATACAGTATTCTCTATTTACTGTCAAAGATTACACCTCGTGGAGGACATTTTATATCACCTTAACATTAGCCCATCTGCTTATTTCACCTGATGATCGCTTAAACAACCCTAACTTAACCTCAAAGCCCCAGGTAGCTTTAAAAGTTTAGGGTATTTAGGGTAGTCCCCATTAGAGGTTCACGGCGCCATAAGCTCGTTGAACAGGCTTTGTGTGAAATATAACAGAGTCTAGGACTGCTTTTGTATCCTGGTGGTCCAGCGGTTAGCGTTCCCCGGTCACAGTCGTGGGCCGTGGGTTCGAATCCTGGCGGGTTGAGGTGTGTGTGTATATATATATATGTGTGTGTGTGTGTGTGTACACCTCAACCTGCCAGGATTCGAACCCACGAGCCCATGACTGTGACCGGGGAACGCTAACCGCTGGACCACCAGGATACAAAAGCAGTCCTAGACCCACCGAGATGTATTGGTAGATGTTAAGTGAGAGGAAAAATGATTTATTTGATGGTAAAACTTTGCTGTTAAATGAGCTCAACCGATAATGTTTATATGTATAGTTAGTACCGTACGTGATATTTTTGGAAGACATCCAACAAGAGTTCACTGGGTTAGTCTATTTTGAGATGTGGGTGATGCTGTGGTAACCTAGCAAGATGCCACAGGGTTAGGTTAGGATGCTAATGGTGCGTGATGTTCTGGTGAATATCCAGTGAGATCTTTTAATATATTTATAGTGTAGTTGGTAGGTGAAGTGGGTAGATGACCAGGAGGAGTGTGAGGGGTTAGTTTATTTTGGTGGTGAGGTGCAGAGGCAGGTGAAGCCACATGTTATTCACCTGCTTCTGGACTAGCAATGGGGAATTACTCAAACAAAATCCTTGAACTTCAGGTTAAATTCCAGATCAGAATTAATGTTGACTATTGGCCAAATCATGTGTTAGCTTTACAGGTGAAATCTTGTGTTAAATTAATCTTAAGTTCAATTTACAGGTAGTCTTGTGTTAGATTTACTAGTCAAATGTTGTTAAATTTACAGATGATGTCTTATATTAGATTTTCATGACAAAAACCACATATTTTAAGATAGATCGTATATTAAATTGCAGGTGGATAATGGGCATTTTTTGTAAATATTAATACTGTACTGTATATTACATTCATTTTACGGGGTGGTTAGTTTACTGGTACACACTGTTAGCAGTTACAGTACAGTATACTGTACTGTGCATGTACAGGTTTTTGTGTGTACATGAACATGTAAGTGATGGTCTAGTCTTGATGTAAAATTGTAGTCACTTTACCTATTGTGTAGAGTTTGTGGTAGGTGCTGGTGTTTCAAATGAATAATACTAAATACTGTTGATGTGTGGGAGTGCAACCCGTGTGAAATTAGGGTTTTTTTTTTATCTACTGTACTGTATAATTTTATATAAAGTGATATTTTGTATTACATTTATACAGTAAAATAGTGAAGCTTAAATGCCATTTTATAAGAACCTCTCCCATGTGTTAATAAGTACTGTCTGGTGATAATCTGTCTCGTGTTAAAACAGAGTCAGGGGCCACATTCTGAAAGGCTCATCATATTTTTTCCCCATAACTGGAGACATAAGACTGATCTGAACGGATAATTTAAGATACAATTTAGAATATAGCTGCAAAAGTGGTTCTACGACCAAGGATCTTCCCTAATTATTTGCAAAAAAAATTATAATAGTAAATCTATCAATAGTAAACCAGACTTTATTTTGTTGTTGAGTAAAAATACAGTTTTTGACGTCTTAAAATGAATATTATGTGCTATCAATAAAGAACAAACTCACATGTGGGGAAGTTATGTCAGGGTGTTTAAAGATAGTCGGTGAAGACCAGTAAATACATTATACCATAAGCCCAAGTCAGGAAGTGGGGGAAGACAGTCATCCACCACCGTAAATACATCATCGGTGTAAAAATATCCTGACATGAACAGGTGTAAATATGGCTGAGCACCTCTAATACTGTATCTTATGTGCTAATTAACCCCTCATGTGTTATGGCTGATAAAGTTATTTATGACTACATAAACATAATGAGTGATATAGGAGATGGAGTGAGCACTGTGAAATAAGGTTTTGTCTTGATTGATCTTTGTTTTAATCAACTTAATGTTCAGCGTTGTCTGTATACCCGATGAACCAATGTAAACATTTATGATGATTTGGTTAATAAACCTACCCTGACTAGTGCCAGACTCGGACAACATTAGATGACAAGGTATGTGACAGCTCTTGGGGGCCTCAGCCAGCAACAGTGAGGGTCGGTATATGTGTTGCAACATAATCTTAAAAGGAATGCGGTGTATTCAACAAGGCCAAGCAGTAATTACTTGAAGACTTGTCCCTTCCTCTGACATCACCCAAACTTATTTCACATGAAGATTCCCCCCTAGCTTTATTTCACAGTGTGTGGTTTATAGCTCAAGGCAGAAAAAGGTACAGTACTGTATAGTATTGTCTGAGGGAGACAATACACAGTGCAGAAAAGGCAACATCACACCGAGATATTTATTCCAAGGAAAGAAAGCATCACATTGAGTAAAGTAAACATCACATTAACATCAGCTTGTGAAGTGTAAACAGGAAGAGCAGTGTGTGTGTCTGTATGTATGGGGAGAAGTATTTGTACCAGGTGGGCAATGAGCCACTTGGACAACATCACCGTGACCTTCACATAATACACCCACCATGTTGTCACCATTACTTGCTCAAGACATTCAACATACATGTAACTCATCCATTATGTGTTAGTTTACATGTCACTCTTCGCCTCTCTTATGATTTCCCACAATTTTAGAATCATTTTAGTGACCAGTTTAGTAAATACAGTACCCCTACTGTGTTCAGTCAGTGGTTCACCTGAGAGAAGAGCCCTTTCATGTACACCTGCAATATAATACTGTACAGTACTGTAATAGGGAAGCATCAGGGCAATAACGTTTATGGCTAAAGCATCACATATCTAATGAGATGATGTGCGTGTGTGTATGTGTGAACAGGACTGTGCGGAGTGTAGAGAACGTGGGGGCGGACAAGATCATCTCGGAATGTGTACTTTTAGAGCAGCTGAGAGGATTAACTTCAGCCCTCCACAGTGCACGCTTCCACGCCCAACAAGGATCACATCACCACTACTCAAGCTATTGTCTTGCTCTTCAGGTCAGTGTTCCTTGTACGGTACACCAGTTAAGGCAAGAGAGTCTAGTGTACAGTAATTATACTACAGTATCAGCAGAAACAGTAAACCATTTATTTTCCATAAACATAAATCATAACCTAACCCAAATTATTTAACCATATTTGTGTTAGGTTCATGTTGGCAACTTTCAAGTGTAATAAATGGTTTACTGTTTGTTCATGGCAGTGTTTCAGTAGTGGCCATCATATTGAGTCGTGGGTATTTAATATTTTAGTACCTACTGTACTTGCCAATATTTCTTGGAGGGTAAAACACGGGCAATTTTATGATAATGATTTCTGTCTGACAGTGTGCAGTATGTACTGTATAGGGGGAAAGTTTAGAATATCAGAGTATAATATCTTGAGTTAATCTGTCTTTACAGTAATAGCAAATCTGTAGTATATTGTTTTATTGAAGAGATGTTACAGATGTACGAGTTGATGCAGATTAAAGGAGCTTAGGTAAGAGAGCAGACAGAGGAAGAGAACTGTTTTCATCATTTTCTAAGTCATCCTTCCCTTGGTGGCTAAGGTCAATCAACTTATTACAATAACAATTATAAAAATAAGCTAAAAGAGTTACTCATTCACAGGTGATGGAAGAAACTTATGGGTTCCACGTGTACCGAGCTCCAAGCAGTTTAGGCGGTACAGGTGTCGTAGCAGCAACGCACCGTGAGTGTGATGTGGCAGTCCACCAGGGACAGTTGGTTGCTCTGTACCCTGGAGCCATCTACCTCCCAGTTCAACCCATTTTCTTCCAGAGTATCAAGAACCCCTTCATCTTCCGCTGTATAGATGGAATTATGGTTGACGGTCATGACAAGAGAATTTCAAAATCTCTTTTTAAGTAAGTGTGAACTTTACAAATGTGTCAAAATAACTTATGGTACATTCTTCTATGAGACGTTGGGGTTCCTTCTTTTATGGACCATTCACTCAGCTAGACAGACAGTATCTTAGTCCAGGATAAAGGTTTAGTAACTGAAACTTGAGTTGTGAAAGGGAGCAGAGATGAAGGTACCATATAAACCTTAGTCAGTTGGAAAGTGTTTGTGTGGTATATGGAAGAAACTGACACGTGTAACATCTAGGTCAAATCCTTCCTTTTCTTTCCACTTTTCCCAGACCTTTTTCCACTATACTGCAGGGTGGCTGGAACCCAAAGCAAACAAAGAGTCTTATTTCACTGACAGTCGATCACTCTTCCCTGCAGATCTTAAATTAAAACTTCTAAAATAATAGATTAAAACTGTAAGTAGCAGGAATGACTATGCTATGAATAATAGAACTGGTAGTGTATGAAGGGTTAGGTGTGAGCAAGAGACATTTGGTCTGACAAAATTATTAATAAATTATGTAGAGTGAAAGCAGAGGGACATGTAGAAGACTTGTACAATAAATATGGGTTGGTGAAGATAAGTATGGTAGTAGTATATTGCTGTAGTGATATAGTAAACCCTTGATAACTCGGCACATAAGGGGCTCCGGCCTTGCCGAGTTATCCCAAATTCCGACTTATCGAGGCACCCCCTCCCCCCCTTACAAAAATACAACAATAAAAAATTATCGACCCATATACGTGTACATGTAATTACTAAATGAAAAAAAAAGTAACACTTACCAGCACTGCAGGTGAAGAATGAAGCATCATAGTAGGTGACAGGTGGTCAGATATGCAGAGATTTTCACAGATAATTTGATATATGTTGGCATTTCCTGAGTTATACTATAATACATTCAGAGACCATATCCATGCTGAGTTATATAAAATTCTGAGTTATCGAGGGTTAACTGTAACAAAAGTATGGATACATTGACAAAGACAATTTAAATACAGAGTAACTAGAGGAAGCATGACTAGTGGCAACACATATTGGAGGGACCTTGTATGGGAGAATGTAATTGGGACAATACAGTACATATAGTATACCAAAAAAAATTCCTGTTTACTGATGTTAGTGAATAAACTGGATGAGTTTTTAGAACTTAGAAAAGGTTAAAAAATATTTAAAATTTAGAAGAGTTAGAAGAAAATAGTTATTAAGTAAAGTACTGCATTGTTAATCTCTCTTGCAGGTCCTGCGTGAACCGCGATCGTGTTGGGTATTTTTCTATAGCTGACACCACCTGGCTAACAGACCACCCGGCCAACCCTCTTAATGTTGGCCAGTATGTCAACAACCAGTCAACAGGTTTGGAATCTTAGAGAAAGCACAGGTTTTTTTTTAACGTGATACTGTAATATGTTGGTAAATACTAATACTGAATGCTTATTTAAGATCCATGTCACAAATACTTCCTTTTCTAGAAACATTTTACTTATAATTTTTAATGCTAAAACTTCATTCACGTCTCCATTTCTTTTTATGAATCCAAGTTTCTTTTCCCCAAGTACAGTCTTTGTTTTTTGCTCCAGTTCTTTCAATATTAACTTGGCCATACATTTTTCATGGTGCAGTACAGTATTCTTAACTGATTAATTCATTTAGTATAGGTGATTCTCATTTTATCGAGTTGGAATATTTCCTATATAATCATCCCCCCTTACAATTAATGAATTTATGTACTGTAATTCTTAATAAAACCATTGCAATTCCCCAAGCTTAGTTCAAACTTCCCACTTATTGGAGCATGTGTCTCAGGCTGCATTTGAGGGAAGCGCTCTGAGATTGAGAGTTTCATTGGCTGGCTGATTCCACCATTTTGAAGGAACATCTAATGAGAACCCAGAGATTTGAAAAAAAAATACTTTTGTGCGTAAGTTGCCCAGGAGAGGACACCATCAGTAAGTTCTTATGTTTTATAATGGGTTTTAATATTTTTAAGCACAAAAGTAATTGGTGGACGTTAATCCTGGTAATTTTAGTGATGAAATAAGAGTAATGTAGAGTAATGTCAAGCTTGTATTAAAAAATGCGTTGATTGAGGATTCAGGAAATTTTATGGTTTATCAAGTTTTGTACCTTGGCTTGCCAGAATTATTTTTTTGTATTGTAAAACATTTGCAAAAATTAGAATAAATGCCTTCTTACTTTTGTAGCTTCTTTTCAGTCTAATAAACATGCTTGAAGATATCTAGTTTTATGTTACATAATACTGTATATTTATATTCATAGAAATATACAGTACACTTCATTTACTAGTCTAGGAAGTCACAACAAATCTACACCATTGCCTACAAGACCTTACAAACTCTAATTGCATCATGGGGTCTTAAACTCTTCACATATAAAACCCAGCCTTGGTACTCTAACCTTTACTCATTCATTCTCTCAGTGTTCCACCTCCCATCTCAACAGTAACTCCCTCAACTGGTGCCTTACCATTCTTCACTTAAAGATTGTCAGTTTCACCTGAACACATCTCAAATATGATAAGGTTACTCCTCTCAGCAGCTGTGTTTAGCAGTTGCTTGAAAGATTCTCCTTGTGTCCCTTTTAATTCTGAACTGCTGTTAGTTTATCTTATATTCCTAACTCTACATTGCATCAATTATGGAAGGCACTGATAATAATGTTGTAGTGGGATAAATTTCATTCTTTAGTCCATTAACAGTGTATGTACATTAATAAATTCCTTGACAAATATTACCAATTGAATGTTATAGGTCATCCTAGCAATGTTGCTTATCAAGAGGTAACAGTACAACCAGGGGAGGTCCCTCTAGAAGAGCGGCAGTACCTTCCCAACCTGTGGTACTCCCCGCCTCAAGATGCACCTGTGGCTCAAGTTCCTCTTCGTATAGTGGCACTGGTGGCTACACGGGACATCCTTCAAGGAGAAGAGCTGCTGTCTGATTACTTTACTGTCATGTACTGACTTTACTACACCTAAGTAAAGGCATAAATTTATTTTTAGTACCACGCTCAGCAAGAATTTTTTAAACAATCCTGCAGTGTGTGCTGCACTGTATATGTTCAGAGTAAGAGTTATAGTACAGTAGTTTGTAAGTGTACCAAGTGAGTGCTGCACAATCCAGCCCAGATATTGTTGCCTCTCACACAGCTGTTTTGACATTGCCACATGTTTGTCAATAAATAAAAGTTCATGTGAAGAATTATTTTTTTTTACCACCCATCATGAAAAAATATACCTGGACAGTATATAAATAATTGACTGAAGATATAAAAAGGGGAAAAAAGAACTTGAGGAATATGGGGGTGAGAAGTGAGGATATGCCAGTACAGTGGGTTAGATGGCTGACATCCTCAAAAAATCCAGCATAAAAACTGGAATAGAACAAATCAATTCTCCTTTTAAGTGAAATTAAAAAAAAAAATTACCCATTCTTTTGGCATTTTTTTTCTTAACATCACTACACCTGACAGCCAAGACTAACGCCCTGGTCACCTGACACAGTCAAGACTAACCTGACTTAATAAAACATCCTGCATTCAGAAAATGTTTAATGCTTAACGACTGCACTAAACTTGCCCCCATCCTAGATGACTAAGGTAATTCTCAAGTATGGTGGACAAGATAAACAAATTTCTTTGTAAACTTAAAAACAAGATTGTCATTAATGATTTCTCCCTTTTAAAACTCTTTGTTAGTGGATCTAAACCAGGTATCCTGTACAGTCTACCAAAGGCACACAAGGATGAGTGCCCCTTATTATTGTCCGCCCTCGGCACCTTCAACTATAATCTGTCCAAATTCCTTGTTCCCAATAACCTATATTCAATTTTCTGTTTAAAACTCTTTTAGTTTTGTTAAGGAACTAACGGCACCTCATTCAACAACTGTGTTATGGCTAGCTTTGATATACAATCTCTATTTACTCAAAATTTTGGGAAGATTGACGTAACCTTTTTATATATTTTTTTACTCAGTTACACACACTCCCATACACCATCCTACATACAGAATATTCATAAAAAAGTGCTTACCTTAAGATCAAAAGCATAGAGGGGATAAACATATCTTTGCACACAAAAGTTAGCGTGCAATGTATGACAAATATTTCACTGTCCAGCAGCGAGAGGGTTAATCATCAATAACAGTCTGTTCAGTGTTGTCTTCAGGCGGGTCTTTAATCTTAGGTTTTCTTCCTCGTTTCCCTTTCTTCTTTCTAGTTTCCTCCATGCTGTCTGTCATTTCTTTAATATGTTCAGCCTGCAAGAATAATGTTGGGATTAAGTTTTATTTTCACTTTTACAAGCCCTTCCCTGCAATAACACTGTGGTTTGTGCCATTCATTCAATCATACTTCTGTAACAAGTGTGTTCTGTTATGGTGTTCCCCTTACCCAACAATGACTCAGGATATCTGTGAGGTGTATAGAGGGATATCTCCATTGGTTCATACAAGCCAGCATAACCCATCAGCAGCTCCCCATCTCTCCCAATAAACCATTTCAAAGTTGTACAAGATCAAAAATTCAAAATCATCTTGTTAATATAGACCATGATATTGTATACTGTAATAAATCCTGGACATTACCAGCTGGGGATTACGACGAACAAGAAGTTTCACGTCATCTGTGCTGACAGTTGTTCGGCGGGCATGGCTGAAAATTAAGTTAGAGAAGTATAAATTAATTGTATTTTCTCCAATACTTTATATTATTGTATACCAACTGATGCTTGATGAGGTATTTTAGAATCTTTGATGAACTCAAGTCTGTTTCTTAATCAATATATCTTCCTCTTGGTCTTTATATTTAACCAAGACACTCCATGTACACACTCCTCTGTATCTATATCAGCGTTTACAGAGACAATTAATGACACCAAAGTACAGGAGCTAACTGAAGGATTAAAAGAATTGCCCGTTTGACAAGTTAAGGATAATTGGTGCATCAGGTACAGTAGTGTACTTTCTTTTACTTTTATCCTCTTCACCACTGATCAGCTTGTTAGCCACTTGGGGGATTGGTCACGTCTCTGTTATGCACTGTTGGCAAGTACTGGGCATGCACTGGATCCTGAATGTATCTGAACCTGCTCCAGTGTTGGTAAAGTCTGGTCTTGAATGAGCTCACACTCGATGCCGTCACAACACTCGGGCAGATTTGTGAATGATTTCACCATGTAAATATGTTCGAATTTACTAAATGATATTACCAATAATATAACTTTAATAACTAAACAACTTAAAAATCTAATACAGTACTGTATAATAAAATATATCAAAGGGTTTTATAATAAAACTAAGTACAGTCGGCCCTTAACGTACGTGGGTTTAGCATACACGGATTGCCCCGCCGGAGGAATATTCTGTACATTGAAGTAATTGAAGTACATTCAAATCGTGCGCCATTCAACTCGCACCGAACACGGGACACCGCCCGCTCCCGCAACCTCACACACACACATAGTTCTCCCTCACTCAGTCAGTCTCGCTGTAACCACGCTTGTGTTGACATCAGCATTGTAGTTGCAAAAATAATACATTCCGTGAATGTTTTATATCAAGCACAGTATGAATAGAATATCACTAATATCAGAGTATTTTAATTGAAAACTACTAAAAAAACGAGTAACATATCTTGAACATCGGAAGGTTAGGTAAAGTCTTTTGTTTTCATGTAGTTTATCCTAATTTACATTGAAATGCATTACGTTTCAGCAAAACTACTATTTATTTCTGAGAATATGGAAATGTAATATTTTGCTGAAATGACGTACGTATTACAGTGGAAAGTGACGAAAGTAATGACTCACTTTCTTTCGTTCAAAAGATGTTACCGTAATCGCTTTTCGAATGGTTTTCATTTAAAAAACTGTTGTATTACAATAATATTCTATCCTAATTCACTTGTGATGCAACAGTTTTTTTAACTGAAAACCATTCGAAAAGCGATTACGGTAACATCTTTTGAACTTAAGAAAACGAAAGTCATTGTTTTCGTCACGATTTTATCCCACTTTCCACTGTAATACGTACGTCATTTCTGCCAAAATATTACATTTCCGTGAATGTAGTATATCAAGCACAGTATGAATATATCATTGTAATATAACAGTATTTTAACCGAAAACTATTAAAAAACGAGTAACATCTCTTGAACATTGGAAGGTTAGGTAAAGTCTTTTGTTTTCGTCATGTATTTTATCCTATTTTATATTGAAATACATCACGTTTCAGCAAAACTACTATTTATTTCTGAGAATATATTCATTCAGGCACAGTTTAGGTAAAATATACATGTGCTGTAACATTTTTTTTATTGAAAACGATTCGAAAAACACGTACCCTCTAGCCCTGTTCAAGGAGAAGACTGGGAGGAGCTGTTTGGTGCTTAAGACGATGACAAGGAAAATGATTTTGATGGATTTTAATGAAAATATTCAGAAAGACCCTGGCACTGTCAAGGAAAGTGGCTGCTGAAGGCTTCCGGGACATGGCAGAGGACGAGATTAGGGAGCTAATTGAAGAGCACGACACTGAGCTGACCGAGGAGGATCTTGTCTCTGTTCATGCAGCGATATTAAGGGCCGACTGTACAGTATAGTCTGCATTTACGCGGTTTTTGTTTACGCATTTGGTCATTTACGCGGTGCCTTGCCAAAATGAAAATGCTTTAATTACGCAGTAAATTTGCTAACTTACGCGGCGAGCGGCTGGAGAGGTCCAGACCGCCGCGCCATTTTTTACCCACGCGGTCCATTCCTGACCATACACGGGAAGCGGCGCGGTGAGTGGTGCGCATTAGGCCGCTCTTACGTTATCGCTGACGTCATATGACGTATTGGATTGTGATTGGGCCACGCATCCTTACCACCCACGCATTCCCTCTGCCGCTAGCTGTGATTGGTCTAATGTAACATGACCTGCCCTGCTTCCAGAGGGTAGAAGTCACTGACCTAGCCGGGCCTGTCTCATTGTTCGCAGTCCGCGTTTCCAGTTCTCTCTTGTGCCCGCTATTCCCCTCACAACTCATAATGGCTTCCGCGGGACCCCCACCACCAGAGAAAAACCTTGAATTACCTGGGCCAAGCCATGATAATGTGAAGGAAATCATCGAGTTGGGGGAGAAACTTAAGCTCATCCTTGACAACGACCCAGACAAGCATCGGTATGAAGCGTCTAATAACCATCTGACGAAAGTTATGGAGCTATATATCCAGATCTATCTCGACAACATCAATGCTAGTCGTCAACGTAGTATTGAGGACTTCCTCGCCCGCAACCCACCACAATCACCGCCTGCCCAAGTCATTGATACTGACAGTGAGGATATGGACTATGAGAGGTTTGTCTGGGAGGCCCTGCAAACCTCTGCGAGTAGTGAAAGTGATTCATCGGAGAGCAACTAATCTGCCCTCTGCCTCGGAACAAGCCGCCATCCACGTGTGCTGACCCAGCTTTTCTACTAACGTAAGTGTTAAAAAACCTAATATTATTGATATTTTTCTTAATTATTAATTGTGTATGCATACCATCATAAAATTATGATGTTATTTTTACTTCAACGTACGTATTGTGTAGGAAAAAGTGGCGTTTGGTGGTCGGCCCAGACTCTATTTCAATTAATCCCATATGTTCTGTTATTTCATTTATGCATTTCTCGTTTTACGCGGTCCTCCATTGGTTCAATTGACCGCGTAAATGCAGACTATACTGTACAGTACTTCTGGCCACAGAAAGTTCTTCATATGGTTTTACTGATAATTTCAAACAATTATATAAGAAAAATAATCGATCAAATTTAAATAATAATGAAAAATTAAGGATACAAGAAAGATAATATCAGATTAATTTTAAATCAATTTGTTAAAAAACCAACACCTCAATGTTTAACAATTAAGATAATGTTTGTGTATCAGGTATAGACCTAAAAACAAAAATTACCTAACCTACATTATATATATCCATGAGAGAAGTGGGACATCTCAGAGTATCAGAAGACAGAGGAGATGGTGATAAGACATTCAACATTTAAATAATAGTGTAATGCCCACAGCCACCCTGACCCTTTAAAACACTTCAGTACAGTTCAAAACTTATATTACATTAGTTTGCTGTTAAAATATAAACTAAAATACCTGTACTGTTTCTCCATGAGTTAGTTAGGCACTTACTTGGAAAAGGCTTCAACATCAGTAGCGTAATGTTCAAGTTGTGAGCAGGTAATCTCTGAGAGGGTAGCGATGACCTTCCTGTGGTAGGTCAGCCCCAGCTCAGCCCCGACCTCCTCACAGATACGACCCACAGTGAAGTGAATCGCTGCCTTTAGGGTCTGTAACAATAATAGACAATAAACACCAAGTACCTAGTCCTAACCAAATTATTACTGCATCGCATAATATAGGCATTAAATAACACATGGTAATACTTACAAATTCCTCCTAACATGAGATGATAAATTATCCTATTATCAAGATGTACGAGTTACTAAAACATTATAGGAATGATAAACACAACTTTAATTCATCTTACAAACCTAATATTATACAAGTTATGGTGATATAAGGTCCTGGCAGCGTGTTAATACCTGTAAATGGTTTAACTTCTCCTCCTCGTCTGCCTCCATGGCCGTCACCAGTCAGCTGTAGTATGACACACAGACACTGACAAACCAAAATAAACACATAACTTGTTTATATGTCTTTAAGTATAATTATTCGTTGTAATACCAAATACATAAATATTATTATTATTAAACACATAAATATAAATATATATATTATATTTTTCAGTGGGTTATGAGGTTAAGTAGTAGGTATAGGTCTATTGTATCTCTAGATGGGGAGGAGTGGTCACATTTTAAGTAAATAATGTTTTCTTCATATATTTTAACTTTTATATTATTTATATCTATTTCTTATTCATGTGTATTTTATTTCACAAAATACTGAAGTAAGTGATTCAATATATACCACTATATTCCTATACTATCTATGTTATTTCAATCTATGTACATGATGAACCAATATGAACTTGTATATTGATTTCATTAGATAAAGGTTAATGTATTTATGTATAAAGAAATAAGGTAGAGATTGGTGGTAGAAGGTTTAAGGGTTGGATCAGTGTGAGGTGTCTTGCCCTCAGGTGCCGCCATGGTCATATGTGTTCGTCTGGCCGTCTACTGTTGAAGACTTTGCGGTGAGTTAATACCATTTATCTTCACATTACATTGAACTTACACACTAACATAATTACCTGGTGGTCTCTAGTGCCTAATTGAGTATTTAGATATGGAATTAGGAGAATTGGAGGCCGGAGAAGTGGATAATTGTAGTGAGTTGCATCATCTGGGGAGCATCGTAGCTAAACATATCTTCTGCTGCACAATATTAATCTGATGTAATTATATTTATAATAATGGTTTAATTGGTGCTATTTTGAGCCTCTGTGTGACATAACTTGCTCAAGATAAGACTCTTGCATGAACTGCCTTTCTTAGCCACTGTAGAAGGTAAAACTATTATTTTATCCTATACCTTATACGTTTCTTTTATTATTCTTATATAAACTCGTTAATATAATGCTAAGTGACGCTAAATCACCATATTTAGTTATGGTGATGGTAATAATAGCAAGATGTAATTTCTAAAGATAGGGATTTAGTGAGAATTTTGTTATGGAGAAGATTATTATTATTATTGGTGTTATTCTGCTGTGTAATGGGGGAACTTTATCAATGTTCTTTATTTTTAGAAGAGAGTTTGATATCTGACACAACCGGCTTTTTATATAGATACAGTACAGTATTTATAAAGTTAGGGTGATAGTTATGAGTTAGGGAGTCATATTTTTGGTAGTTAACATTTATTTCACCACTAAACTTGCAAGACTTTTTTTTATTTAACATGTCACCACTTCTCTTATTAGATGTTCTTTGTTCAGTGTTACTACAGGAGGAAACTTGAGTACAGGTAGAAGGCGTGTGATGTATGGTAGAGACACACTAGGTGCTGGCTCCTCTGGGGGGCGATAAAGAAAAGTTACAGTTTAGTTCTTGTTTACAGCATAATGGAAAAGATGTCTAAATAATATACTTAAATTAAAACTGCCTAAATTAATGGGTTTTCATTGTGAAGTTGTGTGTCAGATGATATTATTTGTAGAGAAATACAGTCCTTGAGAAATGCTACATTGTTTGTAATTTGGAGAGAATTTATATCAGTGTGTATTATTATTAATGGCTAGGGGAGCGCCCAGACCACGGCAAATCCAGTGTGGGAGTTCACCTTTTTCCTGTTACTTCTCACATTTGTGCCTAAGCATTTTTAAATTCGTTTTCTATGGAAAATCAGCAACTGTGAAGTCTTCAATAATTACCTCTGATATGTGCTGAAAGAATCCAGAATTGGGATCAGTACTTTACCGTTATACTGTACCTTCATAAATGATAAAATGTGATTGTGGGCACGTGTGTTGTAATTAGTAAGTACAAGTCTTTAAAATATATTTATTTATTGAGCAGTTGTGTTTACATGATCTGATACAGTAATCTGATAGACCATAATCAGGTAACTGGGTGATGGTGCTGGTGTGTTAGTCAGAATTTTCTAAAATTTTATTTCAATTATTTATACATTTTATCCTCCAATATGTAATCCAGGGTTCTTAACAGTCCAGGTGTTTGGGCATTTTGAGCACACAGTTTCACTTCCTTAAAGGGATATTGTGTAAAATGTTTGTCATGCAGGGAATGAAGCATTGAGTTAGTTACACACTCAGGTAGTTACCCATAACACCCAGGTATCATTCTAGTTAATGGCTCTCCAACAAGTAAGGTGTACTGTAATGTAACAAATTATTAAAAGTTCTTGTTTAGTGTTGAAACTAATGCTGTGATCTGTGCTTAAGAACTTAGGTGTTGAAGCTTGTTAATACATTTTAATAGTAGCCTTGACACATTAGGTAGATCCTTTATCACAAGACTTAGTTTATCTCTCTCATATATGGCAGGTATAAGTAATAATATGCTTAAAATGGCTATAGACACCTCTAGGTCACCTGTGTACTCACATTAGGTAGTTCAGGTGAGTAAGGAGGTCACGGCTCTGTTTGCTTTCCTCCAGAAATGTTCAAGAAAAGATTCTTTTGGAATCACTAATTAATTTGGTATTTATCTGATTTTTTCTCTGTGTTGAAGAAAAACACCTGCATAGTATAATTTACTACTGTACCTGTAGTTTAGTCTTATAGACGTGTGTTATAACTGTTGGTCGTAGGAACATAACATCTTTTGTACCTTTAACGCTGTACGTACATGTCCTCTTATAGCTATGGTAGAGGAAGGTTGCTGTAACATTTGAGTGCTGTTTACTAAAACCTAATAATTTCTAATGTTTAATGCTATTTACAGCCACTCCTCAGGACAATGCATCATAAACACCAGGTATGATGTGCCTGCTTACTACTCCTCTCTCCACCCCATGGATGTCTTTACTCATGAGATTCACTTCTCTTATTTTCTACCTGAGTAATATTTTAGTCAGTACTGTACTGCCTTGACTCCTGTATCATTATTGCTCACTGTATCCCCTATGGGTTCTGAGTTTCTGGTGTGTGATTTTTTTCTCTTCTCACACCTGGTCAAGTTAGAGTATAGTCTAAGAAAGTGTCCTGCCCTTGAACTGTGTGGCAGTGAAGTATAGGACAGTAGTATATGCCCCCTGGCTCCTCAGCGAGTGACTTACAAACTTGTTTTTGTGAAGTTGGGAGTAATTTTGTGACCTCTAACATGCCACACTACAGTACCTTCATTGGGCATTAATTGCAGTTGGATTGTAGATATAGGATGTATATTGTATACTGTACTGTATTATTTTTCACTGGTGGGTCGTCCTGTTACAAAAAATGCCAAATGTTTACAAAATTAATTCCGTTGCTACCCCATAATACTACAGTACAGTACTATACCTACAGAGCTGCAGTTCAAGAATTGTTCTTTTAGGTCATAACTCTCCATCTGAACACTCACACAATATGGGTGTTGTGTAACCAGTGCTACTGTGGTCACCTCACTCTCTTACATGTGTGAAATATGGTTCATTTTATAAGTGGTGTTCAGTACTGCCACTAAAGAGGTTTACTGCATGTTGTGAATGAAGGTCAGGCCTCGGTATACATTGGGCTGTCGTTAAGTCAGGTGCTGGGATGCATTGTACATACTAATTAAACTTTCACCTGCTCCCTCGCATCAGTCTTTTCACTAGCTATTCATTATTAATGATTATAAATACAGTACTGTAGTCTGTAACTGTTGCATGAAAATGTTTGTGTCAGAAGTTAAACATTACACATACACAAAGGGACGACATCATCCTCCTCCATATATATCTGATAGATTATTAATATAGACACTGCCATACAGGTGTGGTCTACACAGGTCATTGTAGGATTTGCTTCCATTTGGCTCTTCTGTGTTCTCTTATTACAGATGTGAGTTGCCTGAATCATATTTTGACTGTACTGTACAATTATAGATGGAAGCCACAGACATGAAATACAGTATTCTTCACAACTGTACAAGAAGAGAGAGGCAGTACAACCTCTTCAAGTAACTTTTGATCTTATACTTGGCATATAGTGTGTCTTGATTTTTTAATAGTAACGTGGGTGTTCGTGGAACTAGATGCTGTAACACAAGAGACTTGCCATCTTTCTTACCCAAAATTTACTGTTTTTTATTAATTTAATATTGTGGTTTTTTATTAATGTGTTTTTTTATTGGAATACTGTATCATATAACTAAATTCTAATTAGTTTGGAGCATTTTGGTGTTATCAGTGTTATCAATGCATGGTCCTCAGTGATGAAAATTTGGGCACCTGTTCAGTCTTCAAGATATTACCATACTGCTTGAGAAGATATACCTGTACATGTGTATAAACAGTACCGTACGTATATGTGTATTGGGTATATTTACGAGAAGTACCATAAGAGGAATGGGATCGTGTTTTGTACCTATGGCCACCAATGCTCTCTTTTATTATTGTTTTCAAATGTTTTTCTTCTTTAGTTTTTGGTTATGTTTATGTTACCAAATTTTGCACTCCGCCCTATAGTGGTTTATCTCGCTCAACTCCTTGTTACTTTACCCTCTTGGCATGTACTGTACTGTGAAGAGAAGAATGGTAAAGATATTATGTTCATGGTGATGGAATCTAGGCTAAACTACCTCTTTTTTAAGGAGTAACTAGTTTGTACTTTTAACAGATAATAACGCTCTACTACTAATACGATCAGAAATTTCCTAGCCGGCTTAATTCTTGTATCGATAGAGTTAACATATTATAGGTACAAGCTCAACAGTGAGGTGTAGTAAGAGCAGTAATTAATGTATCACAGAGTAACCTTCTTGTAAAATGAATGTTTTGTGTGATGTTACTTGACAGTCATTTGATTTACCAGTACAGTACAGTAGTTTCCCATGATGCTCATTGTCCCTCTCTCTCCATCCATTATACAGTAGGGAATGGCAAAATCTCAGTGTAGCAATAGATAACCTTCAGATGATTTGATATCATTTTGGTATTTTTCCCAAGATTATCTGATTGCATGGATTTACAACCTGGCTTTCATGATGTTGCTTTGCCAAATGTGTTCTATAGTTTGGGCAAGTTTTTCATTAAATAATATCCTCATTGCTTTATTATTAGAAGGAAGATTAGTATGCAGTGTTGTTGTATATAAGAGAGGCATGTTGATGTGATTTTAAGAGATTGTATGAATTTATTAGGTTATAATACAGTACTTGAAAGCAATAAGTCTGAGTTAAGTATCAAGAGGAAAATTTTTATCAGAGCTGTAATAAAACCATGATAAATGTCTGGGTGTGTTCCTCCACTACATACAGTACTTATGAAGCGTGGAAAACATACACCATAGATTTACTTCATCCCAGTGCTCCAGGAGGGGAAGATAGGGATGCCTGTTTACCACTCATACCTAGAGCTGTCTCCTATAAACACAACTTATCTTTAACAATTAATTAGCTTTGGATTTGAACTAAACTTGGTATAGTAAGTTTGGATATATCACCACTTGATGTTATATAGTTCAAGAATTAATATTTTCTGTAATTATTGACCCATGTCTGGCGTTTAGTGTGGAACAGCTGCTTACTTGTCCACCTATGCTGACAACTCTGATGTGTGTAGCAATATGGAAATTTATTGTGATAATTAATAGTTAAACCAGAAATTCTTAGATCATATCAAACAAACTCACAGTAACGAGTGCCTTTGAAACACAGCTCTTGAGACTTCATATAATTTAGCTCATGATATCTAGTATTTAATTTCATATTGGTATTATAGTATTACAGTCTTGATAGATGTATAGGAAGGTAGTACGAGACGTGTGCATTATAAACCTCAGCTTAACTCTGAAAAGGTGAGTCTGAAGGTTTAATTAGTACTGTATGCTTACCTCACCTTTTCGTCCCTCACAATGCTGAGTATATAAAGTTTGTTTTAAAGGCAATATGTTATCATGGTATTAAGAAGTTATATGATGTAATATCAGTGGGATGTGTCTGTTTGGTAGCACACAAGACCACAGGTTGGGTTGTGAGTGAGATGTAGGAGTGGAAGGCAGGGTGTGTCTTAGTGGTAGCAAGTGAGGTACTGTACTGTATGAAGTAGCCTGGGGTCTACCTAGTACTGTATTCCAAAAGCTGTAAATACTGTACATTTTCTGGGGACACGGACTATCTTGGTGTTTATTTTAATTGTGGTGCAGAGTAATCGACTGTTTGAAATGACTAAGATTACTATAGTTTGTTGGCTAGGGGTTGTTGATACTACTAGGGATAAAAATAACTTGATGATGAAGAGGAATTTGACCTAGATGTACCAGTAAACGTTGTAGATAAGATATAGTAAAGATGATTTGACGTGTGAACTTTACGTGGAGTGAAAGTGGTTGTGGGTCCCGTAGGCATGACTGCTCGACTGCCTTCACTTCCCCACCTTGTAAAATCAGGTACCCATTTACAGCTGGCTGGACTGGGAGTGCCTCGGATTGACCACACTGTCCCATAATACAACCCAATGTCACAAGTACTCACTTTAAGTTTAATTGTGGTGGATTATTGCCTTCTGGAGGGTTAGTTAATGTACCAATGATGTAGGTCCTGTCTTTTAGCAGATGTAGGTTTCAAGGCAGAGTAAAGAGGGTCACCTAAAGATTAGATCCCCCCCCCTCCCCCACAGCTTTGACGATTAATCACTTATGCAAAAATGGCTAAAAGTAATGCAGTTTATTTCCCGTATGTTGTCGTTGAGTTCAGCCTCTATGAATACTGTAATAGATTGTAACATAAAAGAAGAGAAGATAAAACATGATAACAGATAAGCAACATTACAGTACTAGACTCTGTTGAATGACTCAATGTCTTGAACCTTTGATCTAGAAAATAAAACTAAGATTAAATTATTTGTGATCCAGGACTAAAGTAGGTTAGTAAATGTATTCAGATTAGTCAGTAAAATTTAAAATGAGGTGTAAGTTAGTCTTCATCTTGATAATACAAATCAACGAAGAGGAGACTAGTTTTGAGGTGATCCCTTTAGATATACTATACACTGTTCGACACATTGTTTACTCTGAAGTCTCTGGTTTGCTGGCGACCCCAACACTCTAAGAACGTTCCAAATTAGGTAAATCTAACAGGGAAGGGATATCAAATTGTCCTTTACAGTAATTGGCATCTCCCTCACTGGGGTCGAAGTAATTGGTGGTGATAATGAACAAGTACCTTGCTGTGTGTTGAACGATGACATGTTAGATACGGATGGTTATAGGACAGTGCTTGAGGTTATTTACAGTGTGCTAAAATCTATAGGCTCTTGATACATGAGTGCTAACTGTACACTAAGCTGTGTTGATGTAGCAAGAGGCAATTATAGCTTCTTCCTCCGGGACTTCAGCTGTTGGAGAGAATCGTTTGTCTGCATTATTAACACGAGGTTTTAAAGACTGGTTGATGGTCTAAAGCGATGGTGGTTTGATTTTTCTGGCGTGCATGTTTGTCCGCTTTATCTTGTGGTGTATTAAGTGGTTGTTTGAGGTTTGGTGATGGGAAGACCCGTTGAAAATCTAGTTAGAATTTTACCGAAATGTCACGAGAATTTAACCTTCCTTGAATTTTAATGAATGAAATGATGAAAGAGTTCTTGTCTTCTATACTGTGCACATTTTATTTTATTATTTTATTTTAGTCAATTATTTTCTTTTTTTTTTGTTTCAGTTGAGGGCGTTGGTGTACCATGTCGAGTGTGCTTAACCGGTCGACCTCCATGATGAATGGTGGAGAGATGTACTTAAGGGGGGCAGCCGGAGTAGGTAGGAGTGGAGATGGTGGGGGGGGTGGCGGCGGTGGCACGAGCTTGCGGGATTCGTTAGCGGGAGTGATAGGAGCACGTCACTTGAGGGAGTCACCCACCTCCTCACCTCTGCAGATATTTGTGCGGGCCAAGAAGAAGATCAACGACATTTACCAGGAGATTGAGGAGTATGTTGCTGAGACCACCCTCTTCCTCGAAGGTCAGTCGGTACTCTTAGGGGTGTATATTATCTCATGACGATAACCTGGCAGTTAGTTTGTTTTTTTTGCAATTTTTTTGTATTATTTATTATCATTATAGACAGGATAATGAGAGAATAGTGATCTCATAACACTATTCAGTACAGCACATTATACCAGAATACATATTGTGTTACTCATACTTTTGTAACTTACATAACTGATAAATAAAGCTTGTGTGGCATTATTTGTGATGAGAGTCAATATGATACTGTATATATTCCCAGATTGTCAAGATGTAGTGTTTACCCTCTAAATTCTGTGTCTCTCTCTTCTCGATGTTTACAGGAGTACACAATGACAAGGGCCTCATCGGCGATAAAGACTTCCAAGACTTCAAATCGTACAGTAGCAAAGTGGCGGGGATCAAGGAGGTGCTGGCTAGGGACCATATGAAGGTGAGAGGAGAGAGATTGGTGATGGTACAGGACAGGTGTAGCATTGAGGGACGTTCATGGTCATTTTATTTATTTATTTTGAGAGAGACGGAGGGGGAGAGAGAACCCCAAATAATGACTATGTTTTAGGATGGGCAATTGACAGGAACCTAAAAATCTGTTGGAACAGCATTTGGTCATTGTGAGGAACAGCATTTTGGTGACTAATCGGGATAAATTTACCAACTTGCTTTAGTCCTGGGCCACGTTTATGTTCTTTGCTTTAAAGGAATAATTTGCTTTAAGACGATACATTTAACTCGGCCGGTTGAAACACGAAGATTTGGTATGAATAAAAAATAATTATAATCAATATCATTCTTTAGTGTATGACAAAAACCCCCACAATAGCAGACAAAATATTTATTCCACATTTCTTGCCATTGTGGGTTTTTCACATATATTGTCATTCACCTTATGGCGACTCCAGCTGTCATTCCTCAATTTTAATTTTTCTATTTCTCATTCCTCTCACCAGGTGGCATTTTTCGGGAGAACGTCCAACGGCAAGAGTACCGTCATAAATGCCATGATGGGCGACAAGATTCTACCGTCAGGCATCGGACACACGACAAATTGCTTCTTACAGGTCAGCTTCACATACTACATGTAACAGAGGCACTATGTAGTGTACCAGGGAGTGACCTGAAAACTTTAGTGTGAGGAGAAGTAAAATGATGTTAAAATATTCTATGTTTTTATGTTTTTGTGTTTATATATTTTTATTTCTTATAGATTGAAGGTATAGACACTAATGAACCGTACCTTACCACTGAGGGATCTTCGGAGAAACAAAATATTAAAGGTATTGGACAGTTGGCCCATGCCCTGTGTAACAACAGATTGGGTGACTCGACACTCGTACGCATCCACTGGCCTAAGACTCGATGCCCACTCCTGATGGATGACGTCGTCCTCGTAGACTCTCCGGGGATTGATGTGTCCGTGAGCCTCGACGATTGGATTGACAAGCATTGCCTGGATGCCGACGTCTTTGTGTTGGTTGCTAATTCAGAATCTACGTTGATGAACACAGTGAGTTCTTATGCCCGTAGTTATTCTGTTTAAGTATCGGCACACTGATGTTGTTGTTAAGAGATCAATACTAATATGGCTAAAGCTTTCACAAATGATATATTGTATGTAGACTTAATGAGAAAGGCATTACCTCCTGTACAGTGTATGGTATTTGAGTGATCACTGGAAATGTGTTCCATAAATTATGACGAGTAAAGATGAGGAACAGTCTTGTGTCTTAGGCAGGGTGGTTGAGTTTAGGTCACATGTCTGTTGTATTACTCTTCTTAGTGTTCATTGTTATATTAACCTCCATTTATATATATCACACAGTAAAATCATGTGATCACCAAGGTGTGTGAAAACATTTATAGATGTATCACTTGAGTGTTATAGGTAACTACAACAGCCTGTGGTGTGGTAACAGTGAGGTCCATCATGTAATGTAAACAATATCTTAAGAGTTACATTACTGTACATTAATATGATACAATTGTTTCTGTTTCAGGAGAAGAATTTCTTTCACAAAGTTTCAGAAAAACTCTCCAAGCCCAACATATTCATCCTTCAGAACAGATGGGACATGGCCGCCTCAGAACCAGAATTTTTGAACGAGGTGAGTCATGATTTGTCCCTTGTGGGTGTATATCACTCTGAAGCCAGGCATATGAACTAAACCAATAGTATATTATATGTTGTAGTGATGTACACGCAGTAAAAAAGTACCGCACGGATTATGTGCTAAACAACATTACACCACGGATGAACAATGGTGGAATATGCGTGTAAGATAATGGTGTTGATTATATTATGCTGGTCCTGTGGGATGTAACGAATATGGCCCTACAATAGGTAGGTTGAAACCTTTGCCATACAGGCACGCATACCAACCCTCCCAGCACATCAGGTGATATATGGATCATTACTGAAGTCAGCCGACATCCCCCCCTTCTGTGCGATACTATTTTACTGTGTGTACAGTGTAAAGGCATTCAGCTATAACCATTACATAGTAAGCTACCATTTAGTGTGTTGTCTATATCCTCTGTCAGAAATATTGTGACCACAGTATGGTGTGTTAATAAAGTGTAGAAACTCTATGTATTTGAGCAAGTAACATTTGTATGACAGTACAGTATATTAATATGGGGGAATAAAGTCACTAGTTTTTTATAATGTTGTTGGTTGTAAGAAATATAGGTTTCATATAGAAAAGACCCTCGATATAATGGACTTTCCTCTCCATTTAGTCAGTTCAATAGAGGTTTCACTGTACACATTGGCTTACAGATTTTCGTGGAGATCACTTAATGCTCGTACAGTATTACACCAACATTGTCCTCGTTCATCAACAAGTGAGGACAATGTTGCTGAGCTGTAATACAAACATTCACATGATCTTAAAAATGTTACTTTTTCTGAGACGCCCTGTATTGTGATGGTGGGGTAGACATAAAACAGTGTGACTATCCATCACCTGTCACTGTTTGTAAATAAAGAAGGCAGTGTGTAGGTGCTGTGATACTGTATTAGTCCTTTACAGTAATGTATTGTAGACTCAGAAGAACATTGTTTGATCAGACATCCATCATGCATAGGAGAAGGTTCAACACTTCAACTTTATGTACAGTTTTTTAAAGTAATGAGTTGTATTTAAGCAGGTTTTAGTAGGTGTATTAATGTAAGTTTTAGTGTGTGTTATAGATTCTAATTAATCCTTAATTTACTGGGGCTGGTAGCCTAACACCGGGCTGAGTGAGGTAAGCTAGTTGGCCTGCCTCTCTGTTGACTGCAGCACCAGCAGCAAGCTTTTTATTATATCTTCTGCTCATATCGAAAAAAATCTGCATGATGATCACATTTCTTCATCAGTTTTGTCTATAAGCACAGTAGTCACTACGTATAAATTTATATTTTACATTTATAAAAGTTTTCTTATCAATAACCTTTTGTTTGTAGAAGTGTAGATTTATAATTTTATTGGTTAGGAAAGCTAAACAAATTTTGTTTTTGTGGTAATGATCATTGAATATGTGTGCCAGATCACTACCTGTTTTATTAGAAGTATCATTTCTGCATACAGAGGTGCAGTGCTTTTGTAGAGGCTTATGTACATGTTTCATTTAACATTCAGTTTTACACCTTTTCACTGTATTGCACCAACTACAGAAGCGTATATGCCACACACCTGTAATTGTAGTTCTTATTAGCATTATCTCTTGTTTAACTTTTATATTAGAAATGTAATATCTACCGTATGTCCACTGCAGGTGAAAGCTTTGTTTTATAAAAGATCCAATCGTGACCCTCGGAACATTTGCTGCAGGATACTGTACTGTATGTGTACCACAGTAGTAAAGCTCTTGAAGTGTTTGGGTCAGAAAAGAAGACATTATCTGTGACGAAGTGAGTGATGTCATAACACGTACACTAATTAGCTAGCTGTTGGGAACTAATTACTGTAGCTAGTATTTTCTGTATGGTGCATTAGTCAGGACCGAAGGCATTGTCAATTTATATTCAGCTTGGCATAACAGGAGTACTTGGTAATCATTCTCACTTATTCTCTGAACACCTCATCAATCACTCTCTCAGTATTTTAAAGAAACATGTCTCTTATACACAGTCATGTCCCTGGGATGATTTGTTAAGCAGACACATTCAACTTTGATCACCTGTACATTACCTTAGTTCTTGAGCAGCTCACAAAGGGTTACAGTTCATGTACAGATAAGACACCAGATCATGTAAACTTGTTTTGTTTTAGTTGTTCAATTTTTTTTATATTTTAATGTCATTTCTAGAGCCACTGGAACTCAGGGCCTATATTCTACCTTTAAATGAGTTGACACAGTATACACATGCACCATATGAACTGGATAATGTCTTGAAGGGGTTGGTGTTCACTGTTCACAGATAGCATAGTGACCTGTGTACTTTTTATTTCCTGATCTTGACCAGTTTTGGCTTACTGCTTCTGGGTCCTGTGAGGAATATCTTCAGGGGTTGATAAGAGGTGCACATGCATGTATCTTTCCACAGCTCTGAGGGCCAATTGCAACAGAGTTATCAATGGTGTTTTTAGAGTGGATGGATTATAGGCACCTTAGTGACTTAGAGGAGGTAAAATAGTGTTGGATGTTTGTAATGATCAAAAGGAGGATATATGAGGATTTAAAGGCTAAACATCCAAACTCAGTTAATGAAAATGATAAGAATTATATAAGCGAGAGTTAGAGGTTGAGTAAGCAAAGTTATAGAATTTCTTGTAAGGTAATGACTTGGTAAAAAAGTCAGTGTGCAAAGATACACAAGAGTGAAGTTATTCATCAGTTTATTGTAGAAGCACTTTTGCAGAAATAATAATTAAACTAAAGCAGTGATTTAGGTAAAGATGGAGGTGTGTGCACAGCATGTTGCCGCCACTTGCACTTTAACACTGGTCAGTGTCTTGTTAGCCAGGAATCCATCTTATATTTACTCTAAATGTTTGATTAAATCTGTTGGAGAATTTAGGGATATTTTTAAACAAGAGATAAATTGTAATTTGATGTCCATTCAATATTAAATTTTTATAATATATACAGTACAGTACAGTATATAGAAACTTTTTTTCAAGCTCTTTTGCAAATAAAGATTAACTACAGTATTAAGAATTTTTTAATCATTTTAATGAGAATCAACTAGATACTTTGAGTGGACATGGTCAAAGAATCCACTTACTGCCCATACACTCAAGATTCATCAGGCGAAACTTTCTCCCAGGTCCGCAAACAACACTTGGAGAGGACCATAGGCTTCTTAGTAGAGGAACTGAAGGTGGTCCAGGGTGCACAGGCAGAGCAGCGGGTGTTTTTTGTGTCTGCCAAGGAAACTCTTCACCAGCGCCTCAGTGAAGCCAAGGGACAACCAAACAACAGTGAGCAACGTGATGGATCCATTGAGTAGTGTCCTGGAAGGTATACAGAGTCATTGAATACTAAGATTTATAATTTAACTTCATAATGATTTTCCACCGGTTAACTCGAGTGTTTCCTTTCAGCTGCTGGGTATCCGGAAGGGTTCACGAGTCGTTATTTTGAATTCCAAGATTTTGAACGCAAGTTTGAAGAATGTATTTCCAAAACCGCCGTCATCACCAAATTTGAGCAGCACACACAGCGCGGGAAAAATATCGCTAAGTACGCAAGGGATATTAAGTTTGATTGGGTAGTTGTGGCAATTTTTGTTAAACTAAGGCATGGAAGAATAAGATTAATACAAATTATAATATAATATGCTAACATTAGCTAGTTAGAATGATATTACATCTTATAGTATAACTTAGGAGGTTACAGTGAATGTTTGAGGGCTATAGAAAGAAGATGAGGTGAGAGAAATATGAATGATCTGACTTGCTGAGGCTCTTGGTGTAGATGAAGTAACATAGTGACAACAAGGAGTGAGGTGGTGTATGAATAGTCTTACATACAGTGTGGGAATGTTTGATGAGAGAGATTGAATGGATGGATGCAGTCAATGTGTTTGTTTAACAGTACGTGTGTGTAAACAATACAGTATCTACTGTTATTGACATGAATAAAATTTGACAGACTCTTTTTGTATGAACTGAATCTATGTTGAAAAAAATTTCTGTGGGTCAACACAATAGTGGATGAAAGTGGAAGGATTTTAGTTCAGAAAGCAACAGTGGAATTAAATGTTGCACTAATTTGATTTGGAGAGAGAGAGAGAGAGAGTGAGTGACTTTGAAGCAATTTATATAAGGAGACCTAACGTGTTCATATATGTGTTTGGTGGAAAAGGTAATCCAGTTAGTCTTTGTGATGGTCTTGGTGTACTCATTACAAAAGGATTAGTATTGATATTGAAATAGATTATTTAGCCAGACAAATACAGATATAGTGTTGATAATAATAACAATATTGACATGGCTGAGACAATTGAAAGCCTGAGGAATATTTGTATTGTCCTGTCATTTCAGCAGCTGCATTTAACTACATGATTATTTTACTATGAAAACAGTGAGATTGGGCAAAATGTTGGGAACTTGATGGAACGAGCTTGGCAGGAGCGGGATCAGAAGATGGGGGAGAGGCAATCACTGTGGGCACGTCTGGACCACACGGAAAAGGAACTCCACGACGTCACCACACAGATGAAGGAGAAGATTTGCTCCATTGTTGAGGACGTGGAACGAAGAGTAAGTGAACAAACTTTAACAGCAAAAATATTACTGTTGAATAGTACTGTACTAGTAGTCTCCAAGGTTATGATACTTAAATATTCTTTATTGACTTAGTTGGAGTACAGTACATACTTTATCTGTTAATTTAGATGAAATAATGGAAGTTATTCCTGAATTGTTGGGTGAATTGGTTGTGAAGGAAGATGAGGAAGCATTAGGTGTGGATGCAGAGTACACTTATGTTTGATGTTTGGCCAAAGCCAGTCATAACTTTGATCTTAATATTCAAAGGACAAAGGTAGTCATAACTGCAGCTGCTCAGAAAGGGCTCATTATTGATACTTTTTAAATTTAAAAAATAAAGTATGTTCTCTAAAATAAAGTACTTGACTTCTTTACTATTTATATGCTTTGAGACTTTAGAAAGAAATAGTGTTGATTTTTCCATGGTAGATGTCTTGAGTGCAGGTGGAAGTTTGTCTCCTAGGTGAGAGAATGAGTCATGTGAAACATACCTCTGTGTCGAGCACCTCACAGGCAGAACCTGTGATTGTACATTGCTTGACAACAGGGACACTGTCCCAAGGATAATATATTGTCACAACCTTCCAACACAATTGAATACTTGTATATACAAAGCCACACAATTCCAGTGGGTGTTTTAAAGACCAGGAGGATATTGTGTTAAGACTCTGACCTCACTGGTCCTTGTGATAACTGAATTCATGTGGAGTCAGCTGGTGGGGTTGGTTGCCAAGGATTCATCCTGTGCAGCAAGCATTGTCTGTGAGGTGCTTAGCAGTAGTGAGTCTCAAAAGGTCTCTTGTTCATCTCCTTGATTATAAAATGAGATTTCATATTGTACTGCAATCCTGATTCTTTTTTTCTTCTCTCAAAATTTGTGACCAGGTTAAACATTTTATTGTTCTCTTGTCGGTTTACAGGTTAGCTAATTCTTGTTATATTTTACAAAACCGGCAGCAGAAAGGTGTCATGTGTTGTTATATGTTAATACTTCTCACCCAGGTATCTAACGCTCTGAATGAAGAAATTCGTCGCCTGTCTGTGTTGGTGGATGAGTTCAATGAGCCATTCCACCCAGATCCTCTTGTGCTGAATGTGTTTAAGAAGACCCTACATGCCCACGTGGAGTCAGGGTTGGGCTCCAACCTGCGAGCAAGACTGTCCTCAGCCTTAGCCCTCAACATTGAAAGCAGTCAAGCAGAAATGACAAGTATGGAATTTTAGTCGATTTGTAGTTCTTCATAATCATAATCTTAGAATTTAAGTAACTTCTGTCAGTCTGTTACTTGATTCCTGTTGTTTCGTTAAAGAAGGGCAACACTGTAAACATGAAGTATGTTTGATAAGTTGGTTAGAGAGAATACATGTCAGTGAATGAGAGGAGAGTCTGTAATCCAGCTCTGTATCACAGGGTAAAGATTTGAAGAGTGAAAACAAAATTATTCCAGTCTTGTCACAGCATTAAATGAGGAATGTGGTGAAGTTGATTTTTATGCTAGATAACATTATTTTAAAACTGGGAATGATAATGTTGTCTTTTTGCTGCTAGATACAGTACAGGTGGGTACTTTTCCCTATCCTTTAAGTCAAAACTTTCACTCACTCTTAATAGCATAACATGTGGTCTTATTGTGGTGCTTCCCTTCCACTACAAGACCACATTATACCCATCTGGTTTATCCTCTCCACTTAACACGACCCAGCATCAGGCATCAGCAGCACCGACTCCTCCAAAATCACAACCTGTTTATGCAATGTTCTGTGGTCAGTCATGCTGAGTTTAAGTCACCTAATATAAGCAGTCAGGTGTTGCCGACCCGTGGAATACTTTAGCCAAGGATTATTATCATATCTCCGGGCTCACCTCCCACCTGAGTTAATGTGTATTGTTTTGGTGTTATTGTAGATGAAATATCACTTTTGTGGGATTTGTTTTTATCTTTCCTTCCTCTTTTTTCGCTTCTTTTTCTTCTTTCTGTTCTTTTATTCTTCTTTTGTTTTTCCATTATTTCTTCATCTGATCACTTTTAAACACACACACACACTCACACACACACACACTTGAGTTGCAGCACTAAGAATTATCCACATTTCTGGGTACTTCTTTCAGATCGAATGTTGGCGCTCCTTGGCCCCGCGAAGCGTGAGATGGCCAGCACCATGCTACCCCGACGGGAGCCATTTGAGATTCTTTACCGACTTAACTGTGAGAATCTCTGTGCAGATTTTCAGGTAGGAGAGAAAACAATACCAATTACTGTCTTGTCCATATGATTTTCATGAATTGGCCGAGTTCTCATGTTGGAAATAAAAGTTGGTAATGCTTGATTTAGTTCTCATGTAGGAAATAAAAATTGGTAACACTATTGATTTGTTCATTGCAGGAGGATATAGAGTTCAGGTTTTCCCTGGGGTTGGTGTCTCTTGTCCAGCGAGTCTTAGGGAAAGCAAGCAGCCGGATCACTAATAGTAGACACAAGGAAAATGTAAGTCTTTTATGTGTGTGTGTGTGTGTGTGTACATACAGTACTGCATGTTGTATGGCGACCTGTGGTGTAATGGTCAGCATGCTCATCTCATGAGCAAGAGGATCCGGGTTCGATCCCCGGGTAGAGTGAAACTATGGGCAAGTTTCTTTACTCCATTTGTCTCTGTCTACCCGGCAGTAATTAGGAACCTGTGATGTTAATCGATTTGCGGATAGTGTTCCGGGGTAATGATTAGCCAGTGCAGTTGGCGAGTTGTCCGGTCTTCTCGGACTATTCCTTGACACTGGGTCATGCAGCTCGTTAACTTAGGGTGTGTGGTTGTTGTGTTGGCGACAGCTTCTACACCTTAAACGAATTCACGCCTAGGTGGCCCTTGGGCCGGCCATCCTCGTTACACGAGGGGCAACTATTATATGTATGTGTGTGTGTGTAATGCCTAATTGTTCTTTTCAGTTTCAACTCTGATGATGTGTTGAAGGAATGTTAGTTATGCAGTTAAGTGGTAGTACAGTATTTGCCACGAAGAGTAAAATATCCACAGACTAAAAACTAAAGCTCTGTACTGTATTAGGTGAAAATGTGTAATAGTTTTCTCACTGATAACTTGGTGTTGTAGAAAACTTACCGAGATTAAATAGTAACAGATTGTAGATTGATAAGTGTTACTGTGTGTGACCAGCAGCATCCCTCACAATAATGCATAGTTTATTACATTGTCTTGATGTGACATTGACCACATGAGTCTATACCTGCCAGCTGTGTTTCCTATCAGGTATGGTGTGCTATGGAGTGGACTTATCCCTGTACTTGTGTGTCACCTAGAGGTTCCCTGTGTGTTTGTGTTGCTGATACACAATAGGGACTCACAATCTGCAAATACTAAAAATAAAATTGCTTCATGCAGTAAATATGGTGATGGTGCCATAAACATCAAGTACTGTAATGATATACAGTACAAGCTTCCAGGGGTGGTGGGAGAACAGTTTGATAGTCACATTGGGCCATTTTTTTAAGTGAACAATCTTATAGTAGGCATGAAGTTGGTCAATAGTACAGTACTTCATGTAGATAATGTCTCATCTTCTAATATACAGCAGAGGGTGAGGAGGAAATAACTAACACATTCACAAGGCTGTAGAAACCCACTAACCTAACCTAACCTAACTGTACATTTAACACATTTTCAGATTCCCCGGAGTGTACCTATGACACCACTGACGCCCAGCAATGAACCACAGTTTGGCCTACCCCAGGATGATTGGTCCATTATCAGTCGCTTTGCTGTTGCCAGCGTAGGCTCTCAGGGCACCATGGGCCTCGCTCTCACATTAGGCCTTGTAAGTGTTGTCGGGTGATTTTAAACAGTATATTCCCTGTGTTGGTATGAGCAGGTTTATTTTTCATATAGTGGAGTGTTGTCTGCACATTAGCTTGGTACTGTTCCCCTCCCTTGTCAGTCTCATTATATGCTGTTGTATCTTTGTTGCTTTCATCTTTTAGTATTATCATTCATAATAATTAATCTATATTATGATAAAGGCGTTGAGCCAGGTAGCAGACAGGATGACCTCTCTTATGGTCACTTAACACACAAAAGCTCCTTTAACTTACCACTATTTTCCCATTTGTTCTTCCCATACTCATTCCTTTTGTCAACATGAACAGCAGTTATATTTATCACTGAGAAGTATAGCTACATACTGGTGATGTGCATGAGGAAAGGAACACCAATATCTTAGTCTCGAACACCCTTAAATTTTTGTGTTTACATCTTGTATCCCTGCTGTGCGAGGACTATTGTTTTGCAGTCCTTTTTAACCTCATGTTTAAATACTGAATGAAAAAAATTGCTCCAAATTCCACACCTCAAGCATAAATAAATATATATCATGCCTTCAGCAGCAGGTTTAAGCTGATGAAATATATATTGACAATCTTTGTTTTTTCTTTTGAACTTTTTAGATAACAGGATTGACTTATTTACAGATGTTCAAAACAGTTGGTTGGCGCTTGATAGTGTTGACCGGTGGTGTGTATGGCTGCCTGTATGCATATGAACGTCTCACATGGACCAACAAAGCAAAAGAGCGCGTGTTTAAGAAGCAGTATGTTGACCACGCTACACGCAAGCTACGACTGATTGTGGACCTGACATCTCACAACTGCTCACACCAGGTCCAGCAGTAAGTCCAGCTCATGACAAGTTTTTAACTAGAAAGTAAATAGTTGCCCAAAACAGTTATATAACAGTGAACCAAAATACAACAAAATACTCCGTAACCTTTCTGTATTAGGGAAGGAGCTTTAGAGACTGTACTTTCCCTCCATTGTGTCAAATAAGGCACCAACTTGGTGCTTTTCAGCCACCAGTGATGCCCTAAAAGCAGAGTCAACACTCCCTGGCTGCCACACAAACAATATAAAAAATTTCTGCTAATCAATAATATTAAGAGTGTAGATATAAACAACTGCATCACTTGATCTTTGTAGGAACTGTCACACATTAGCCACTGTAGCTGAAAGTACTGAGCATTTTTCACTTCTAGTTTCTAAGCAAGAATTTGATTGTTGCCAGAGGTTATTACAACTGATATTTTTAAGTGATAATTATATATACACTTGTATTATACATTACTGTAGTTGAGTTACCCAGTTTCAACCAGGTTTAAGTAGAATATGTGTTTCAGGGAGCTCAGCGGCACGTTTGCTCGCCTTTGTCGCCTGGTTGATGAGAGCACCAGCGAGATGCAGCGGGACGTTCGCTCTCTGGAGAGAGAAGTTCAGCAGCTGGAGGACATCACAGCGACGGCGAAGAAGCACCGCAACAAGGCCCACTACCTGGTCAATGAGCTGGACATCTTCCAACAGACATATTTATCATCAGATGAGTAAGAGAGGCTGAGTTTATCTTAGGTAAGTGGGATTAAGAAGGATGCCAACTAAGTTTAGATATTTAATGCAGTTAGTGGAATAACTTAATTGGAATTATTAAATAATATTTTCCATGTTTATTAAAATTAAGGTCTATTTTATGTAAGACCTGTTTGATTGAGCCTGGAGGATCGTAGTGTAATATGGTTAAAAGAGTTTGGCTTTAATAAATAAGAGGTTTTTCTATAGGAACTTCAGTTAGAAAACAGGTCTGCCAGAAATGCATTTTTCAACTAGTTTTATTCTACATTTTATAATTGAGGTGCACAGTGAAAATTAAATCAGAGATAACTTGTTTATTTGGCATATGATATACAGTATTGTGTGTAATGCTTGGCTAAACCAACACTATCACTCATGTTGGAGGACAGCTGAAGGACATAAACATGTTATTTAATTATTGGTACCTGGATGATAACTTTGTTTTTAGTGTTAATTCGTGATGACTGAATATCCTTTTCTGGCGTTTAATTTGAGGAATTTTGTATGTGGCTTTACTCAAAATAGTCTTCTGGCTGCATACAGTAGTTTCCAGGTGCTGCACTGATAACTGTACCTACTGTACTGAACTCAAGAACCAACTCAACAGGTGTTTTTTGATGTGTATTTAACAGTTTGTTAAATTATATATATCAGAAAATTTCTAAGCACATTTTAACAGATATTGTTAATATTTAATATCTATATAGAAGATACGAATTTATTAGATTCTTATATATTACAGTAAAAGGTCGTCTATTACTTCTTTTAACATTACTGGTATGCTCAATTTGAAGACACCCATCCAAGCCCACGAAGAAAACAGTCTCTGAATGAAATGAAATTGATATGTACAGATAATTGTTAATAAGTTCACTAAGTTTATGACATATTTTCTTGTATATGAGCCTCCACTACACTGAGTAATACTGTACTCAGCATTATTCAGCGGATGTGCATAGTAGTTTTGTACAGGTTATATCTATTGCAAAGTTTTCAGAGTTTTCTCACCAGTGGAGTGGCCTGTTTGACTCTCCTGCGTTCAGTTGCATGAAATATTGTGCAGTACCAGGAATTTGGTACATGTAATAGTTAAACTTAAATGTATATACTGTATTATCATAAGAAATCATGGTGTTTATTATATACAGAAACTGATTAGTAAGTTCTGTTGAGAGGATATAATTATTTTTGAAGTTTCAGTTGCAAATGATATATATATTTGGTGGTTATTTGTTAATGGAATGCATACAGTTAACCCCTTAAGAGTTTTTATATATTTACAGTTATGCTTTATGTTCAACTTGGACATGTCTAGATATATGTTTTGATGGTACTGTATGCTGGACTATGATCCGCTACATCAGTAATGTTTCTACAGCAGAGAGAGAAGTCTATGATGGTCACTTTAAGAGACGTTCTAACTCGGTATAAATGGGAAGTTTCGGTGAAGTGAAAGTGACAGGTTGTTTGGTTGTGTTTTGTTCAGCAAAATAAGTTTAGCTTTATTTTATAAGATTTTGTTGCAGTGAAGAAACACAAAACTTGAATTACAGGTGTATAATAATAACTATTGCCATAATAGTGGCTCTAATTTTTGGATAATATAATTGTGACCCCAAGTTGTTAGTGTGAGATGCGAGTAAGTGCTGCATAGAGATGTGGATGGGTCACAAGCTGAACTGGGTCATCTGTACCTCTACACTAACCTTGCCTGCTTTATGCATACAACCAGGGTAGTTTTCCTTGGGTTAATCTATTTAAAAATATTTTAACCAAAATTAACAATTTATTATTCGTTCTAATCAAATGTTACTCATTAATGTGTGAGTAATGTACACTACACACCGAATAAAAATTATGACGTATCAGCACTGTGTAGTACAGTATATACAAACTGATTAATCACTCTGTATTCAACAAAGTGGAATATTTATCCTTACAAGCTCATTAAATTTGCATCAGCATAATAATATAATGCAAAATACACATGAATTTTTCTTTTCATTAATAAACTTTTGTTTATCTCATTTGAGTAATTACTGACTTTTGTTATTGCTGTGGTTAGTTAAGAAACCACAACAGGGACTTATTTTTTCACCAGTCTGGTTGATGAAAAGGTTATTTACCTTCGCTTGTTTTAGTTAACTTGTGTGGTGTATCTCACCTGATGGTGGAGAAGTACACTGTCCACCCAACTCTTTATTAAACAATGTCTGTTAAGGCTTTTTGATTTTCTAAGTAAAAATATGCTAAGAGTAAAATTATAAAAGTCCAGTTTTAAACGGTATTAGTAGCTTTATACACAAAGTTTTTAAAAATTAGTTATTGAAAGTAACTAGGATCTTTTTATACTATTGAACCAGTTACTTAATAATGCCTTCTTTTCAGTCATCTCTTTTGAACAAGAATCATGTTTTGGTCTCAGTAAAAGGTTGCATGTGACATAATTTATATAGTTTACTGAATGTTGATGTTGGTAAAGATTACTGTACTAACAGTCTTAGACGTACATGGCATATCAAATTCATTCATAATTCCTGGACAAACCACTTTACTAAACAGAAAATTGGTATGTACAGTAAACTCGATTTAACGGAATTCAATATAACGAACTCTCCGTTTGCGGAAGGAATTTTTTCCGTTATTTTTCACTCGATTTAGTGAGCTAGTTCGCTAAATTGAAGTTGATTCCATTACTGCGCTCACACCTACGAGACACCTCAGACACATGATATGTACATAGAAACATTATTCATGGCTCGCCTTAAACTAGGGGGTTCGGTGTTTGTTTTCTCTTTTTTCTTTAATTTCCAAACGTTTTTCCAATTGATAACTGCATTCTTTTGACTTTCTCCCCCCCCCCACACCACTTTCTTTCTGTGACTTCTGAGAGATATTTGGTGTGATGTGTAAGCACTGTTGATCGAGTGGTAGCAGTGAACAACACACACGGTGGCGGCAGGACGCAGACTGAGCGGATGTAAACAAACCCCACATCCCAAGTGGCGCATTTGGTGTGGAATTTAACGGAATTATGCTCAATTTAGCGGAAATTTCAATTTAACAGAAAGGGGTGGCTCAAATTAGTTCATTAAATTGAGAAAATACTTTAGTTGATGAATATCTAAGGCAAATATATTCCAAATTACTGTATATTCATCATTTACCATCTTGGTTACTTCCAGCTGAAGTTTAAATACCATTTGAGGTTTGCTTTACTTCTTGCAAAAACTCGAGGCTCTTGTTTGTAAAGTTAACATCTATACACTCATACTGTATATTCAACAACTTTCATCTCTTTAGTTGTGAATCCTATCATTCTTGGGCACCATCAGTCAATATCTTCAGCTTTGTAGCCACACTTGAGGCTGCTGTGGAAGGAAGTACAATGCAGTAATCTGATATTATTGCATGAAAAAAATTCTAGTCACAAATAATACATCAGCTTGTAATGTGCTGGTCGTATTTAATAAATTGTCATTTCTCGGGTCACTGCAGAAACTCGCATCATCGTCATTCTCATTACATCTTGTGCAGCTCTTTATCTGAACACGTGTTGACACTAGATTATTTCTAAGCCAGGAAGTTAAACGAGAATGTGTGAATTGAGTTTGTTTCAGTTTTGTTAATGAAAGTAATACTGTATATTGTATTAGTAAAACTATGTAAAGTTTATAAAAAAACCATGTATTAATTATTAATGCTAATAATTTATTAGAGTTCCTCTTGTTGGAGGACAGTTTGGGTGAACATTATTTTGGGCCTGATATTATAGGTTATGAAGATAGTCAGGTTGTACATTAGTGGAGTCACGTGTTTTTTTTTTTTATATTGGTAAGGAGTCATTAGTTTCATTGTAAAAAGTGTGCTGTAAATGTTTATCTTGTAATAAGTTTATATGTAAATACTATACATTTTGTGATGAGAATTCTTCAGCATTTATGTAATCATTTCAATTTTCATATAATCTCAAATATTTCATGTGTGAAATGTACAGTCTGTTGTATTGTAAATAATGTAAACTGCCAGACATGATGTAGATGAAATAGAGCATTTGCCATCCTCTATATTTTTCTCTCTTAACTCAACCTTCAAGAATGGTCAACTCAATGAAGGCCTCAAACCACTGCTTGTGTGGGGCATGAAAATGAACTGAAGACTGGTGAGGTGAGTACTGTACTGTACAGGAGTTTTTCACTCTAGCTGACAAATTAACCAAAGACATTAGGTTTAGTTATAACTGTAAAGCAAATCACAGGAAACTTTTTTAAAAGCTTCTGTCATTTAAATATAACTGGCCTGAAAAAATGTGGTGGTCAAAATTAGGAGTGTGGTACATGTTATTACTCAACCCGGAACAGTATTGACTCTTAAGGATATATTAAACTTAGGGGAATATGCTGGAATATGAATACAGTTTATTTATCATGATGTATTATTATCATGGATTTGTATTAAAACTTTCATACTCAAACATCCCATCACTTAAACAAATAATATAGAATCCCACATTCAGTAAAGGACTCGGGAGATTAATGCTGTGTATCACACCTACACTACAGTATTTAATTATGCTGTATAAAATAACAATGACAACTTTGGTAAAATTATAAAACTAACATCTTTCAAAGACCCTGTATAACTCTGTGAGATTTGCAATTTGAAGGAAAGTTGTGTCCTGTGCAAAATGTTGTGGAGGCTGCAGTGTCTTCCTCATAGCTGGGTACACAAGGTGCTCCGTTGACCACCGCCACCCATTCTCACCGTCCTGTTCAAGAGTACTGTATTACTCTCCTGATTTCAACAAAAGAATTAAAACATAATTTATATATAGTCTATCCTGGTCAATAGTAGGATGGATCTTGATAATCACTATTAAAAATACACATGCAAGAACAGAACCCAACTACATACCTTTTCCTCGGTTGCCTGATTTCGGTGTATAGCAAAAAACTTTGCAGTTTCCCGGCAAAAGGCCTGAAAACATTCAAGCTCATTATTCCACTCCACCTCTGTTGCCATGCGCAAAATGTACATTGGCAAACCTTCCATCGCTGGTACATAATCATCTGAAAGGTAAAAAATATTATGATTATACTTAATTGTTTTAGTTCCATCCTCATGAATATTGTTCATGTTATTCAAAGGGTTTAGACATCATACTCAAGAGGTTAAGTCATTATGTTCATGAGGCTGTCACTCATTGTCCTCAAGGGGTTGGCACTGTACCTAATAAATAAGGCAAAGTGCAGATGTTGCCTTTATCATCTATTTGAATACTGAAGTAGTCATCTAGCATTTCTTTGTGAGACTGTATTAAATCAGACATGTAAGTTGCCAAGTCCTCCTTCGGCCCATCTCCCTCTGTCCAGCCGCTCTCTTCCTGGTCAACAGCAAGCATGGCCAAGTCGTATAGACTCGTTGGACTCTGTGGTTCATCAAAATCTTAATTATTCACATTAAAGGGACAAATGAAAATTACTAGTATACATTTTGAAACTTCATCAGTTCAGATGGATAAACTGAAAATTAGAAAAAATAAATAAAAGTTTTGAGAGATCATTAGTGTCAGAGATGATTGTTACAGTCTCCATCAACATTCATTCATATAACTTAGCTGTTTACAGAATTCACCTCAAATGGGAATGACTTGATATCAGAAGTTCATTTCAACAGGCAATAACTAAATCTCCATCATATGGGGCGTTGACGAAGGCAAGAGCGAACTCGCCACCCGAGCGAAAATGCTATTTCTGTACCATTCAGTTCAGAAAGTTTTGTTCTATTATGACACAAGATGGTATAATGAGTTCATGTTTGGTTTACTGGCAAAATCCCATTGAATCACATGGTGTAAAATTCCCGGCATCTCTGTGCTGCCTTTGGTAATTTCTGTGTCTGGCGAGAGTAAAGCAAGTCGAACTCGCTGGTGACCAATCACAGCCTGCTTTACTCCCTGAGCTAATCAACATGTTGGGAAGGAGCGTATCGACCAATGAGTGGCCCGCTACATTCTATTGTCGGCGTCCCGGAGGAGGAGGAAGATCAGACTTCTAGCCACCTACCCTACCCACTCTGCTACCAAGTTCTTTAATGGAACATAATCATAATCTAGTGAGTGTTACCATTATTTTTTGTTTTGTTTTTTATATTATTACAATATAAATTAATTGTTTTGTGTACAGATTATTTTCATTAATGTTAATTTCACACCATTTCATTATTTGATGTTAATGTGCACCAAAATCATATGCCACACTTTATTAATTACAAAGATCATATTCTGCATTAAATTGCCTTTAAAATGAGACCTCATTGAACAGAATTAATGCATTTTTGGAGGTTCTATGACATTTGGAATATGTGCAAACATTAAACCTCATTTTCTCAATACTGTACAGTACTTTGGTCTTGGTGCATTAACCAATGCCTCTTATAACAACCCCTTCAAGAGTCACTGAAAGCTGTTGATGTGACAATAATTACTGTACCACTTACCGATAACTTCAGGATGCCGAAGTTACCAAAGTCATTCAGGAGAATCTGGTAGAACAATTCCTCACTGTAACATAGATCAAAGGTCAAACAAGAGAAAAATCCAAAGTAAACACTGTATAGGTTTCCCTTACCAATTGGAAGACTGACTGACATGGAGGAATATGGGATAAGTTCCTAGACCATGTAAACTATTTTGAATTCAGGTGTTTAAATTTTGTTCTATAATCTGCAATGCTGAGTCAGTGGCTCATGTAAGTACTTATTGCTGTAGGTAAAGCTGCGGCATCAATACTTGTTCTTACATGATCTTCTAACAAAGTGTAGAATCATTACATCCACATTCCCTGATCTATGAGGCAGAATTTTACCCATTTTGTCATAGACTGACATAAATTTTCTTTCCTTTTTTCCTTTTGGTTCATACCTGCCTGTAATTACCCTTATAGGACCCACAGTGGGAAAAATTATCAGAGACAAGATAGTCCGAGTAGTGTTGAGAGTTAGCAGTAAACAACCAAAATAGTGTACCCGCGCAGTGAGTGCTTTTATAGGTGCTGCTATTTTTAATAATATAGTAATAATACTAATAAAAATATACTGTTGTCACTGATACTGATTCATCAACTCTTGAGAAATGACATCCTGGTATCCCTGTGAGCCTCACAACACACTAGAGCACTTTACTGCCGAAACTCTCCGTCACCACTGTGAAACTTTAATATTTTAACTGTGAGAGAGAAAGTCAGTACATTTTATGATACTGCAAGTACGTACTGGAAACCATAATTAAGATCCGAGAAAACTGCAACTGGGGAGGAAAACCTGTATAAATAATGTACTCTTAAGAAGACACACCTATTAGCAAATATTTTATGAAATTAACCCGAGGAACTAGTATGTTAATAATATATATATATATATACAATAATCATGTTAATATTTCTCAGGTAATCTAATCTTAAAAACTAAAAGACAATGTTTAGAGCAGCAGTTACCTGAGGGAAGTGGTGTTTGTCAGGTACAGCTTATTTAAATGCTGGATGAGAGCATATTCAGCATTAACACAACCCACAAATGTCATATTCTTAATAGATTCACGAAGTCCAGCATGACAGTTGGCCTCTGTCTGGGCTCGTAGCGTTACAATACTCGTTAGTTTTATCTCACGTCTGAAAAGGTATATTTCTTATCACATCTTTCAAAATGAACTTTACTTTTGCTAAATAAGTTTTTTATTATTTTTCACAATTCACCAGCAAATATATACCGTGTAGATAAAAGATAATTTCTGGCCACCACACTGAAGTAAAATTAGACACATAGCAGTAGAGTACTATCAGATTTCTTACACTAATCCTTTAATTAAAAACTCAACATTAATTAACCTGTTTTGTTCTTCAGTACCAGAGTTGCCTTTTTCATCTTCCTCAAAGTCTTCATCATCACCTGTACTCTTATTCACTGATGGTCTGAAAATATAATGAGAATCAAAATTTTCTACCGTGAAAATTATTTTGCATAACAAACCTACTGTATGTAGGAAACGATATACTGTAGTACATATAGACAAACTGTACACACTCAGTACATCAAGAACAGTAGTAGTGAGTTGTGGTATTAACTATCTATCTATCTGGGAGAAGTGTGGCCACATTCACTCAAATCTGTCAAAAGCTTGGATGTTTATTTTGACCCAACTATGAGTTAAAGAAAACATTTCAAGTTGCTGATGAAAAATTGCAATGATCACATTCAAAAATCTTTGTACCATACACAGGCTTTTGGAAGACCTGCATATGTACTGGTTGTATCTACGGTCAATTGCCACAATTCTCTGTTAGTTAGGTTGCCAGGTTGTCTCCCGAAGAAGGTCCAGTCAGTCCTTAATCGAGTATCTAGACTTATCAATTTACTGCCAAGACTCAAAACTCCACTTGTATGTGTCATTAGTCTGGCTCTATTAATGATAAAATTAAGTTTAAACTGAGCACGATGATCTATAAAGAGGACAGGCAATGTGAGCCAATATATTTGGTCAATCCTCTCTCTCTCTCTTCTCCTCTCTCCACACACACACTTTACCTATTATTCATTTCTCATGTTTAAAATATATCCACATTAACTAAACAAACCTTGGTTAGTTCTCAAACCAAACCTCTCACCCCAATATCTTATTTCTGTATTACTTATTCTCGGCAACAAGTACAGTACCTGGCTACCTGCCGTATGAGAAATCGAGGCACTAATGAGATATGAAAATAGTGACACATTAGCTGATGAGTATGCAGAGATCAAATGCTAACTTCATCTTTTCTTAAGAAGTCACAAGCATCACCACTTACTTTGTGAGAAACTTGTCTAATTTCTGGTCACGAGAGTCTGTACGAATCATTTGGTGCGCATAAACCTTCTCTTTCTTCTCCGCTCCTCCACCATCATCTTTATCACTGGAGCTCTTCTCTGACACTGCAGGAACTGTATTTGCACCAGGGAGTAAAGCCTGAAATTATATATATCCAAAGTTAAATCAGCAAATAAATAAATCATACATGAAAGTGCATAAAGTATACAGAAAAAACAAACACCTACTGTACTGTCTCCTGGTTACAACTTACCTGAGTGTAAAATGTCCTGGAAGTGTTACATCCAAGCAGTTTTAACTCTACAGCTTGCTGGACCTTTTCAACAATGGCATCTTCATGTAGGAAGTGTACTTCATGTTTTGTGGGATGTACATTCACGTCAACATTCTTTGGGTCAATCTCCAGGCTCAGGTACAAGAATGGATGACTGTTCTTTGGCAGGTATGAGGCATACACTGTTTCAATAGCTTTCCTCAGTGCTGAAATAACAAAGTGAAATTTATTGTAAAATGTGAGAAATTGTAAGAAGTGAGAGGACAAATGAGGTACTGTACTGTGTATAATGTGCATTAGGATAGGTAATAACTACAGCTAATATTTAAAACGCATCATTAAAGTTCTTATAAAATTATTTTAACTTTCCTACTATCAAAGTTAAGAATTTTAGAAACAATGTACAGTACAGATATTGAGTTCAGATAGGCAACATTTTTCTTTTTCTTGCTAAACATAAATCTGGTTCACTCAAACTGTGAACAACAGTCATTTTCCTCACCTGTGGACTCCACCAACCTATGATTAATGAAGAGCAAAAAGATGCACTTCTTTACAGAGTAGTTAGCATTACTAATACAACCATTCACTGAGAACTTGAGCTTTGGGTCTTCACTTGACAGTGCTAACAATTCCCGAGCAACAGATGGGCCATAGATGGTGCGGACGTTATCCACAACCGAGGAGTTTGGTGGAGTGCGGATGTCTGTACCATTGTCCCCCTGCTTCTTGAGTGTGAACCCCACACGGGAATTGTGTACAGCATACCTGCTCACCACCTGAGGACATGACAATCATATACTGTACTGGTTATTCAATAAGCACCCAAGAACAGTAGTACTCAGTAAAAATCCAAAACTAATAACAATCACCATAATAAAGAGATGCAATCTTTACCTACTCCTCTCTTGTGTAAGGTGGATCATGGGGTAATACTGTACAGCCTCGAGTAAAGGAGGTGTTATGGTACAGTGTGGTGTAAATCAAGTAACAAAACAATAATGAATTTAACCATCACATTTTCAATATCACCACACAAGAGTAAGTCATGAAGCATCTCGGTCACACAGTGTTCTTGCAGCTGGTACAGTACACTTGTTTACACTATTCTTCCCACACTGTCCTTCCAACTTGTTTACACTATTCTGATGATTGTTTGTTGTCACTCCCCTCAAGATGTACAGATCATATAAGTATTACTATATCATTTAATATGTCAACAACTCCAATATACCACACCCCTTTTACAGTCATGAGGAAGACATAAGTGGACGGCTCCTCCTACCTCAGCTACTTTGGCATGTTCTTCTGCGGCGCTCTTAAGGGCCTTCCTACGTGTGGCCACATTATAAAACAGATCCTCCACAGTTATCTGCGTTCCCTGGTTGCCAGCACAGGGCTTTGGTGGTCCCACTGGCTTACTATCAACGTACGAAGTTCTGTAATTCATACCATCAGATAAATCAAGCTTTAATATACAGTATCAACATTAACAATATATCTGGACAATCCCAATAATTAAAATAACCTAAGCAGTATTCCCCAAAGTTTCTAGTTATTACAAGCTGGGAGCACAGGTCCACCAGCACTGCACTGTCAGAGTGAAGTACTGGTACAAAAAAAGAAATGCTCTCTGATTTCTTGTTTCATAATACTTTATGCAAAGAGAAACTACAATACAGGTAAATACTTAAAATACCTGTATTTACAAAGCATTGCAGTACAGTGATGAGAGATACAAAAAAAAAAACAGTGGGTGTGTGACCAATGTAAGGACTTCTTAAGGCCAGGGACTCTGTGGTAGACACCCAAGTGTGATATAAATACAGTATATTACAGAATTGGATCACATGAGCCACCCTAGTTTATTACACCTGATAAACACCCAAATGCTTATTCACAATAGCCATATCTTACAGCCATTAATCAGTCAATATATTCCTTCTCATGTTAGATTTGATTAGATTACATCACATAAGACTAGTTAGGTTAAGTTACATAAGGTTGATTAGGTAAGGTTAGATTCCATTGGGTCTGAGTATATAAGGCTGAATAAAGTCTTATAATTACTACAACTTGGGACCTTCTAAGACTGAACCGGGGCTGAGAGTCCTTACTTCCAGGCACACACGGAGTCGCAGGTACGTGTGGTGATGGTCAGGTGCGCCACGTGACTGATGGAGGCCAACGCTTCTCCTCGGAATCCGTAAGTGTTGATGGATGCCAGGTCCCCAAACTCTCGCAGCTTGCTGGTTGTAAAACGTTCACAAACAATATCAAGATCGCCTTTTCTGATGCCTGTGTGCAAAGAGTTGAGTCATTAGTTCATGAAGAAGGAGTGAGTTACTTGGTAAGAGTCATTCCTGAAGAAGAGAGAGAGTGTATGGAAAGAGTTACTGGTAAGAGTCATTCTTGAAGAGAGAGAGAGAGAGAGAAAGAGGCTAATTAGGCAGGTAAACAGATAAAACTAAATACCTGTACACTATTACCCTCATATCCATCCTAACAGACACTTCCAAATTACAGTAAAGTATTAACAAACACCCCTGACTCATCCACAAACAAAACATTACAGTAACTATACAAAAATCTTTTAAGTTACCTGTCCCATTATCTTGTATCTGGAGAACTTTAAGGCCACCCTGCTTCACTGTTATCTGTATCTGAGTCGCTTTAGCATCAAGACTGAAAAAGAAATAATTCAGTTAATGACGAGAGCTGTAGACCCCACACACACACATCACATACAGTACTAATATACACCGTCCTTCCCTCAATCTGTTGTAAGTGATATCCGAGTCACTTTCAATCTCCTAACACAGACCTCACCATATAACATCAACAAACTTTCAAAATTATCTTCACTAAGTCGGCAACAAAAACAAAACAACATTCCTGAGTTAACTTAATTTGGTATAATAAAATTTTAGTTCAGGGATACAAGAAAATCTTATCAGTAATAATATAAAAGACAATTACTTGGTATGTAAAACTTGCAAATATTTAAGAGCAAATTCAATGGACTTTAAACCCTATCAAGGAAAGGTACAGTACAGTATTAGAGAGGGGTAACTTGCATATAATCTGGGACTACATTACAAGGACCAGTTACAACATTTCTTAAGTCATTTGGTTAAAGATGACCAACAGTACAGACAAATGAAACCTCTTCTGTATTGTATATGAAATCAGTCATGCAGGACAGGAATATACTGTATAGCAATGTGTTATCAGTCATAATCTCCCTGATAAGAAAGACATCAGTAATACCGGCTATCGTCATCATTTCCATGCTGTCAGTGTACTGTGAATAACACTCTGTACAATGTGGAGGTGAAACATTTATCATACGTACTTGTGTGCTTACTGTGAAAAACTGGAGTCTCTCTCTACCACTTTATAACTGTGGTTCTAGCAGCCTAAGTGACCCTGTAGTTATTGTGGTTATGGCAGCCTGATAGTGACCCTATAATTGTGGTTCTGGCAGCCTGAAAGTGTCCCTAAACTGTGATTCTGGCAGCCTGAGTGTCCCTAAACTGTGGTTCTGGCAGCCTGAAAGTGTCCCTAAACTGTGGTTCTGGCAGCCTGAAAGTGTCCCTAAACTGTGGTTCTGGCAGCCTGAAAGTGTCCCTAAACTGTGGTTCTGGCAGCCTGAAAGTGATAAAAGTGTTTGACCAATGAGTGAACTAAGCAGTCACATATGAAATTCAAACCTATTGTGAAAATAATAAAATATCCAGTACCATAACTAATATAGGAAAATAAGATAAAATTTGAAGATAAAATAAATGAAAATCAGAACAATGCACTGACTACATGTAAACAATATTGTCTGCTGGTTTTCACTTGATTCCAGACAGTTTATATCATCCAAAGAGCATAAAGGCAAACAAAATATTATATAGTAATTAGTGATAGCGAATGGAAGGACAGATAATGAGAACACCTTTTTTTCCCACACAAATATGGAAGTAATGCTGCTGGTTGGCAAGTGCGAACACCAGACATATACTGTGCAAATAAAAAGTTCGTAATGTAGTCATGATAAAAGGAAACATTAGCTCTCCTGACCCAAATAGCCAACTTGGGTGAGGAGAGTGTAAGGTGGTCTATATGAATGTGGTTAAGTTTGAGGTCAATAGAGTATTAGAGAGATTACCAGGTACAGCGAGGTGATTTTTCCACCAAGTGCACTACCTCCCCGTAATGGTGGTCTTAAACGACACCTTTACGTGAATATGTGGTGTTTACCCTTGATCCTAGTCTTTATAAATAGTCATTATTGTCTATTGCTTTATATGTTAGGGTAATCCTGGAGAAGATGACTAACACCAGAAGGCACTGTTCAATTTTGTTCTTATCATTATAGTAAATACTGGGTACAGTATTTTAAAAGAGGGAACATTTACTAGAACCAAATTGAACCTGACCTAACCAACCATAGAAACCTACTTAACTTTCAAGCCGGGGGTCGGACCCTTGCCATATTAAACTTTGTTGAAGAGTCATGGTGTAATTTTAAATTTTTTGTGGCTGAGAGTATGCTCGGACCGAGTGGGTTGGTTGTAAACAAATAGACGGCAAGCAGCAACTCAACAGATTTTTCAAAGGAGTATTTACGGTAAATAATTAATTTCTTTACTTAAAAGCACGTTGAGCCATTATTTCAGTCAGATGATCAGTTTGTCACAGTGTTTTACCCCAGGTGACTTATGATCATAGAGGAAAGCTAAAATGCAAAAAAATACTTAAACTAATTAAAATAAAATGTTGTTGCTTCTTTTAAAATAGTTACTAGTATATTGATAACATCATCTGTGGGAAAATTAACGAAATCAAACAACTCCTTCTGGTGTTAGCCATCTCTTCCATTATTACCAATACTTGTACGTATTCCTAAAGTTGCTGGTTAACCTGGACCGCTGATCCAGCGTATTATGAAAAGTGAAAGTGGGTCCCTGTATACAGGCGCTAGGTACACAAGGAGGCAGCATGGCCGGTACTGCACTCCTGTTCATTCTGACTATGAACCTATGTTGCGTGCCATCTCCCAACAGCCGCCATTTTAACATGAGAGCTATAAGACACAATCTGGCTTCAGCAAAGCTTCTGACTTTTCGTGTTATCCTCGGAGAGTAATTATTCTGCAACAGCCAACAATTAGGGTAGAAAAACAAAAATAATTCAGTTTTTGATGCTGAATATAATGTTGATAATGAAAGCTTGGGGAAATGCATACAGAAATTATTAAGCTGTGACCCTTCCTACCTTGACCCCACTAAAGGTGGACAGGGCTTCGAACCAGAGAGAAAATGTTGAATTGACAACAAAACTAAATGAACCTAAACTACCCTAATCTGGTCATTGTACTCACCTACCGGATGTTTGCGGAACATTAGCCAAATACAATATGGATGTGAAGAACAATTACAAGTAAACAATTATCGTGTAGGTATTTCGGATTTTTTTCTACCAATAACACCAAGATTCTTTTTAAGGTTAGGAATGAAGCACCCCCCCCCCCCTGGGATAGTTACGTAACAATAGTAGGTTAGGTTAGGTTAGGTTAGGTTACTCATTTCCACAATAAATGTCACAATCAATAAAAAAAAATATCATACTAATTGGGGAAATTGGGATGGAAACGAACTTTTGTCCCGATTTTTACTGCACATGTGATGAGTTCTAAATAGGGAATCAATTAAACAGTGTCCAAGAAGTATCTCACCAGTTCTCTATCATCTCCTTCAAGGCGTTGGCAGGCCTCTGGACCACCTCACCGGCAGCGATGCGATTAACAACAGTTTCATCGAGCTTTTTTATTGTACCAGGTTCCATGACTCACACTCTACTATGGCACTGCCGGGTGATGTAGTCCATGAAGTGCCAATGAAGTGACACTGAGTAATACTGCCGCTGACCCTTGGAGGTTAATGTTTGTTTACATGTAGAAAATACCGCGAGATTAAGAGGTGACGAGCCTAATAAATGTTGTAAAAAAATACTCCGTGCTGAAAAGAAAACGTAAAACAATTATTTTTAAATAGTTTTCTATACTTAAGAAATATAGAATAGAAAAAAATATATTTAAATTATATTTCTTTTGTCATTTACTCTTATCGGAAAGCTTTTATTCCGAATTTTCTAGGATTCTTGAAAGATTATGATTATTTCTGTGCTTTAAAAATGTTTGTTATAGAATAAATAGAGCGAAATTATGTTTCCTCTATTCGTTCAATAAATGATGAATCAATTTGTGATAGAAAATTAATTGTTATGGAATTTGGTTTTAAGGCTGTAGTGCTCCGCCGTGGTTGGTATCACTGAAATCCTGAATGTTTAAACAATAACCAAATATATACATACGTTTAATTTAAAGCACTAATGATTTAGTTTCATAATTTTTGTCTGAAATTACAATTTAAATAAGATAAAAACTGAGACGAGGTTGAAATATTAATTATACTACCTGTATGGTGGTTGGCAAACATGGTGACCCATATTTTTTTTCCCAAGACGATCACATACTTCCATATTTGATGCTCTAAATCTTTCAGGAGCAGTATATGAAACTTAATGAAAGTAAGGTTCAACAAAATTATGATTAGTTTCAGTCATGTTTTAATTAAATTGATTTATAAAGGTTGTGGTTATGCCTGTTTACATTGGGGAAAAAATGTGTTGGTGTGGAGCAGGAGGTGCGCAGTGGTGCGGCGCACCTCCTGCTCCACAACTTCAGTTTCAAAGATGATGTCGTGGTGACTGTGCGTACCTTGACTGCAGTGCCGCGTTTTGTGAAATATGCGTCCGTCCATCCGATGCCTTTAATCACGTGTGTTTGAGGAGTATAATGTGTAGTGGAGGTGCTTGTAGATAGTAGCCGACATGCTGCGGTTTTTCAGCAAAAGAGTCGGGCGTAATGCCCAGAAGTACAAGACTGTGGACGATGGGCGGTCTTCAGGCGCACCTAAACCCAAGCATATTCTTCCCTGCAAGGTCATGCTCCTCGACGACAGTGACCTCTCCTTCGATATACCGGTAAGTGTACTAGTGGAACTTTTCCAGCCTTCAGATGTTGTTGTTTAGCGAGGAGTTGTGCGTTGAATGTGGAAAAGTAGAGAAGGTTAGTGTGTCGGGGTCAAGCTTACCTGTACTGGCCAGCGCTACCCCGCTCCTCCTCCTCCACCCCGCTCCTCTGACTCCTTGGGTCACCTGTGCACCTGCCAACACCTCCTTTTCACTCTAGGATAATTTCACATGCTATAAATGATAGTTTTTACGACATTCGAGCAGTAAATCCCCTCGTGTGACAGCGTACAAGCGGTGGGTCGTTATGTCGCGACTTTGGGCAACTTGCGGCAAACACCACAACTTCCTTAACAGGTGTGGCGTGTGACCTGCCTCCAGCACCACCTCCTCCGCTCCTACAGGTGTGTGTGTCTGGCTGTCGTGTCCCGCTAATACGGGTTTTGTCTCATTTCTTATCAGACTTGTAGTTTATCGCGAGATGAATGTCGCGGCCATAATTTCACGTCTGATAAGAAAAGGTTAAGACTTTTTTTTCTCAGACATTTACCGAGCATTAAAAGAGTTGAAAAATAACTGGATATAAATAACTTTAAGGCCACGTATATTTTATTCTGGGAAACCTTTATAAATTTGTCATACCTTCCTGCCCACGACGTTACCTGTGAGTGCCTGTAGCCAAACACTCTTCTCTCTCTGTCCCTATTTTCTATCTTTTTTTTTTCATCGTTTCCAGTGTTTATATTCCCCTGATGTTAAAGTCAGTTACTCGGACACACACACACTTGCTAAAGCTTTTGTATCTACGCACAAACATAGGAGAGGGTACGGCTCAAGCCTAACCTCCCTCTCTCGGTGTATGTGATACAGAGTAAGACTAACCATTAAGGCAATACACTCTCAAAAGTGTGTGTGACAGTTTAAGGGGGGGGGGGGTTAAGACTTCAGTCAAGCAACACATTTTCTCTCAGTTTCATTGTGTGTGATAGAGATCAAAGGGTAAGACTGAAGTCAAGCCGGCGGTGCTTTAAAACCTGTCAGGCCAACCAATGACTGACGGTAATCGGTCGTCGTCTACATTATGCTCCCTAGCCATGCGTAATGTGTCATATAATGACCTGTAATTATCAGTCATTACCCCCGTTAATAAAATGTAATGGGCTAAAGGAAGAATAAGAGAATATTCTGCGTAGCATTAAGTGTTGAGCCAGGGTGTGACATGACGAACAGGTGATGCGCATTTAGTGAATTCCAATTACATATCTTTTCAATTTATTAGTGTGTCTAGCCATTCTTCTATTGTTGTTACATATTAGCATTGTTAAATTTCCCAACTAACTTTTCATAAAGCTGGTGCGTACACAAGTCCAGCTGGTCAAGGAAGACAAACTCACAAAGATGCTAAATAAGTCCATGCTATCGAAGACACGGCCAAGGTAAAACAACTGTGGGGTGACTATGCTAACAAGATCACCCCCCCCCCCACTCGCTCATTTGGAGACGTCATTTGTTATCGAACTTGAAGCATTATTACTCAGGCAGTATGTCCCAAGACCAACTCGAGACTATGGAGAAAATGGAAGTTGATTGTAAAGTGTTCACCATGTCTTTCTGACCTAACCTTGCTTGGATAACTTAATTCATATAACAAAACAAAACATACTGTGATCGAAATAACCTTACTAATCAGTTAACTTCACCTCAACCAGTCGTGACATCTGACCTTAGGTATTTTAGCACAAGTATATAACTTAATCTAATACCGGTATAATCCAACCCAAATAATATAACACGATTTAATCTAACCGTAACCCACATACTCTGACCTAACCCAGATGGTGCAAGATTCGTTTGTTATAATATTAGTGAAACCTGTTACAAACTTTAAGATGGCGGTACAACTGTCGGCCACCAGTTTGGTTCCTTGGTTTACTGGTAAATTTGCTTAATGTTTTTTTGTTTACGTATGCTTGGGGAGTTATAGGTCTGGTGTTCACACCTATGTTGAAGGATTTATAGGTGTTTGGTACAGAGGATGAAACTATATTTTTTATCGCTGCAAAGTTACTTTCCTGGGTTTTGTAAATATGGTAATAGATTTCAGTGACACGAGTGAGTACACCAATTCTAAAGTTAATAGGCCGAGCAGAAGATACCATAGACCTACTGAGTCAGGTTGAAAGGCAGTGACAGTCATCTTGTCAGATACATCAATAGCTCAGGTGACGTTGGTTTTGGCGTTCGCATTCTCTTTGAGGCATCTCGTTATCTTGAAACTTTACCTAGCATTAGTGAGGCCACACATGGATTATGCGGTTCAGTTCTGGTGTCCTTATTATAGAATGGACATAGATTCGTTGGAGAGAGTTGACAAAATGATGAAACCTTCCATATGAAGAAAGACTGAAAAGCCACATTCATTAGAGAGGCGTAGAGTTAGGGAGATATGATAGAGGTGTACAAGAAAAAAATGGAAGATGTTCTGAAGCTCAGTAATAACGAAATAACTAGAACAAATGGCTTTAAATTAGATAAATTCCGATTCAGAAAGGATTGGTTTGGTAATAGGTTGTGGATATGTGAATAGGCTACCGAGTGCTATAGTAGGATCGGGGACGCTAAGCTTCAAGACGAAGTTGGATAGGCACATGGAAGTGCTGGGATGGGTGTGAAAGGATCTGCCCTGTATGGGCTGGCCTGCAGTATCCCACTTTCTTATGATTTTGGCATCTCTCACCACATTAGCTCAGGTGACGTTGGTTTTGGGATCTCTTTGAGGCATCTCGTAGCACTACCAGAACACTGTCCCACATTTTGGTCCATTAACCAGAAAATTGGGTTAAATCGTCTGGATAGATTGAGGGCAGGTTAGGTTAAACGGCAGCAACAGCTGTGTCAGATTTCTCTGGGTGACGTGAAGTGGTGATTGTGGTGGTGGTGTCATGGCGGCCCGTCATGGTGTTGGTACATTACATTCTACAAATCATGCATTAATTGTAATGCTTCTCCTCGATAGTAACACAGTTTTAGTCTAGAAATTGCGCATCATTCCAATGATTGTAGAATAAGCAGTAGTTCATGCTAACTACTTACTTGGTATACCTACTGTAGACAACTTTACAATATGTGTTTTAAGATAAATGTAACTTGACAAAGGGATTAGAAAACTCATAGTGTTCAACAGGAAGTGCAGCCATCAGATGAGAGATTCTTCACTCGAGAGCCATTGTACGTTGAGTGATGTTCACTGCATGGGAGTGTCATTACTGGTGGATGAAGATTCACAACGCGGTTATGATATTGTAAAAGTTTCTGAAGCGTGGGTGACCACAGACGCTGGCGGGTAATCGACGTGGTTCTCCACATACCTGTAGATCCGGTGCCGATGGCCTGACAATCTCCTCCAATAGACTGGAAAGTGTAGTGACTGTGTGGTCCCTGTTTGAGTGTATGTTGTAGTGATGGTGTTGACTGATGTGACCGGAAGTTGTAGTGACTGGCTCCTGTGAGTGTTGTTGTTGTGGTGGTGATGTTGACTGGAGGGAGTGACTTGGTTTCTGTCAGTGTTATGCTGTCATGGTGGTGCCGTCGCTGACTTGTGCCGCCAGAGCTCACATTGTCTCCTTAAATGTGAGGCACATTTATCTTGCTAGTGCAAATATGTAATTATTTTATATTATTATTGTTATCAATATTATTACTATTATATACTCTCGCTGCCTTTAGTAATTACTTGTTATAATATTTAATGGTGACAACTTGCCTATAAATCTTAATACGAATTTGTTACTTTTTCTTGCGAAACTCCCGGTCAGAATCATGTGTATGAATGTACAGTATTTCCTTAAAAAAATAACATTATATTTGGTATATTATAGTTCACAAGTGTTTATTGAATTATGTACAAGTACTTTTATTATTCCCAACACAACATCCATGTTAGGAGGGTGCTGTTGCTGGTGTCCATAATGTGTTTGTATGAATATAAATTAATACTTTCATTCTCGTAACTGTAATAAGCGTAGTATTAAATATTAAGAACGGTCTGGCTGGTTCCTGCTAAAACTGGATAGAGTTCAATACTGGGTTTGTCAGTTCACCAAGGGAGTGAAATGCCACGGCCTACTTACTTTCCTAAATCGTTTCTCTGTTCTTTTTTTAACACTTTCGACACCGGCCCATTAAATGTATGTACAGTTAGGTAACAAATGTTCCATAAACAACATCCCCCAAAGTGTTAGGTTAGGTGGTGTAACTGTTCTTGAATATGTGTGGTTTTAACTATGAATCGATATTATTTTTTTTTCAATGTTAGTAAGGCTTTTAGAATCTTGGATGTTTATATAGCAGTTGTATATGATTAATATGTGGCCATTATGCTGTTAGTTCTTAATGGTGTAGCTATATAATACTAGTGTCGATAAATACACAAAACGATATGCCCTGACAGTGCTGACCTCTCTACTCAGGTTAGGCTTCAGTTAGGAGTCGGCCTTAAGGAATTCTTCTCTCCTTTGTGCTTGTTATCTCACCTTTATCATTTTCCTCAAAAGCTTTTCGTCTTTCGTGTTTCATCTCGCACACTCAAACAGGATGATACCTGTTGAGTAGCCACTGATTGTGATGTCACCAGGTGAGTCAATGGCTCAGATGGTTGCTATAAAATAATTGTTTTCAAAACTTAGCTAATTCTCATCGTGGAAAATCAAGCCAGGATCGTGCTCGGGATGATTCCTCACGTAAACAGTGACCTTCGTTGCGTTAAAACAACAATCATAAGTTAATTTACATAATGTATACCTGACCTACTGCGTTTTGCACACATACATTACGCATCGGTACTATATTAAAGAGACCCGTCGCGTTGATAGATGAGTGAGGAAGACCTTGAGGCGCTAACACCTAACCTACCACAGGAAGAAGTAAATTTCCGATGTGAATAGTTACTAGGCTGTCGAATGGACGAGTAAACTGCTGCCTTTGTTGTGTTATATCGAAGCTACTGAAGGAGG